CGCAGATATCCTAGGGATGTTCTATGGATATCAAAAGGATCTCTTAAAGATATCCAAAAAATCGTCGGTTTGGATATCCTTTGGATATCCCATGGATATCTGAGGATATCCACAGGATATCTTCTGGATATCTCTATAGACTGTTTTTAAAGTCATTATGAGACTACGAGTGAGAATATTCTGTGAATTAAATTTTATATAAATAAAATAAAATGCAACTTGTTTTTCGAGAAAGTTGTTTAATTTAAAAAATTATTAACTAATTTTTTTCTCATTCGTGATTCATTCCTTTATTCATATGCTTAATATTGTCAGAAAATAAATTGGCTTTAAACAATATAAATTCTTCCCCGCAAATAACGAATAACTATTAATATTAATTATACATTATGTGCATGAGTTTATTTAAAAACTTTAAAAAATGCGTTTCAAATCTTCATTTAAAATAAATTAGAAGCTCATAAGATTTTTCTTTTTATTATATTATTATTCATTATATTAGCTTAACAATTTTAACCTTTAAAAATATATGTTGAGATATTAAATATCCCGTGAATATCCTAAGAATATCCCACGGACATCCTGAGGATATCCCATGGATATCCTGCGATATACTGTCCAATATATATTTTGTGGATGTCTTAGGGATATCCTGTGGATATCCTATGGATGTCCTGTTGATGTCCCACAGACCGGCGGTTTGGATATCCCAAGATATCCTGGGGACCATTCTAGGATATCGACCATTGATATGGATATCCTAGGGATATCCTTTTGTTATGAGGGAACATTAACATTTTTAATTCAATAATTTTTCTCTTTAATAAATTTTTAAATAAATTTCATTTTAAATATATACGTATGAAATTTAATACATATAATAATATATATATATAAACGTGACAGAGAAAAAATTCTTTATTTCATGATGATAAAAAAAATAAAAGAAAAATGCGCTTAGTCGACTAAAATTTAAACTGAAATTTTTATAGGTTATGCCATAAAAATCATCAGTTAAAATTTTGTTATTTTTCTAACGAATTTTTATTTGTCTAATCAACATTTGAGAGAATTTCTTGTTAAACAAATTTTTACTTAACAGTACCTATTCTTAAAAAGCCGAATTATTATTTGTCCGAAAGAACATTATAAACACAGTCTCATTTTTGTTGCAACTCAAAATGATTCAATGATAAACGACATAGAAAGTGGCGCCACCAACCTGGTTCATTTTTGTTGCACATCAAAATAAGCCCCTTACACGACTCATTCTGAGAGTTCAGTTTTTTTCTGTGAAGAAAGATTTCGGCGCTATTTTTAAAATTCACCAATCACTATTCTTTCTTAATAATTTCTAATTGGCTATATTTAAAAAATTGCGCCAAAATATTTTTGTCGATTGTTTGTTCGGCCATTTGTAATTTCGGACAAATATACGAATTTAATTTTTTTTTTTTTATATTAATTTATTATTTTTTAAAAAAATTGATAATTTTTTAATATTTATTTGATACCTACTTGAAAATCATTTTTATGATAAATGTATGAAAGTGTAAAATGATAATCTGCATGTGCTGTTTAATTTGTGAAGAAGTGAAGCACGTGTGATATAGAATAAACACACATGACTTTTATGACTCATCGTATAGTGATCTCTGTCTCTGTTAAATAATCAGTTTTATAAAATATTAAATAAGAAATTCTATATGAGGTCAAAATTACTTAAACGTATATCACCTCGCGTATCACCATAATTAAAAAATTTACCTATTAATGTTAAAACATTTTTTTTAACTCATAAAAATAAATTTTTTAAATCATTATATTAAAAAAAAAAATTCTAAAGTTATTAAAAATTGAAATTTCTAAAATAACAATTTTTTTCGGAGGTTCAGTTGAGCAAAAAATAAAAAAAGATTCTTTTTATTTTTAAATTATTCAATTGGTTTTCCAAACAATTTTTTTTTTAGATTGATGAGAATTTCAATTGTTAATAACTTTTTTAATACATTTCTTTTTGATTTAATAATTTTTGAAAAAGAGTAAAAAATTTTTTAACATGAAATATAAAATTTGTGACCACTTGAGAAACTTTGACTCCATAGTATTTTATAATTAATTGCAAAATAAATATTTTTGTATCCATTAGGCATTTTTTGTCCTTTTTTTACATTTAAAAAAATGTTTAATTTAAAAAAATATTTTCTTTTTTTTGTTTGCTTTTTGTTAAAGAAAATATTTTATAAAACAAAAAATGTTCTATAAAATATTTTCTTGAACTCTATATTAATATTAAAATTTAATTATTTTATATTATGTGTTTAATTATTTTATATTATATGTTTAATTATTTATCATAAGTTAAATTTTTTAAATATCTTGCTAATTTTTCAAATAATATGACACTTTTTCAACAATAACAGTCATCCAAACGTACTACATGAAACTTTCGTTTAATTTTGCTTGAAGGTAACACAGAATAAAAACCCGCAGACTGTTACCTACAGTGGATAAAATTTATCTATTGTTGGTACATTATCGACAGTCGGTGATTATTCAACTGTTGGCTGCAAAATAGAAATTTATAACCAACAGCCAGTTGATTACCAAACTATGATTTTACCTATAGCCATGAAAAATTGATTCATGATTTCTTTTGAATGCAATTAAATAAGGTCAAGTTAATCAAGATCTACTTTTCAAGTACAAAACATATTATTATTGAAGTAAAACTACATCAAACTTTGATAATATTATTTGTTATTAGGTTAGCAAGCACTTTACAGGAAAATTCAGTAAAAAAAACAAGCATATAAAATATTATATACGAATGTTTATTTGCAGTATAAAACTGTATATATAGTTAATATATATATATGATTACATATTGATGATATTGAAAAATATAATATGTCTCTCGTATTGATGATATAATAAGATACAAAGTATAAAGTGCGCATAATCATAAATTTTATTAACCTTTTTTTTTAAAAAAAAAAAAACATAATACTGATTTATTGTCACAGCTTGCAATTCAATTCCAAGCTGTGAAATCTTAAATTGTTTTGCAAGATGATGATATATCCGTCTGTAAAATGAATGCGTTTATTATGTTGTTTTCATTGTTTCAAGTTTATAATGTTTTGTATTTAGCACCTTATCGCTGCGAACGGGAGTTAAAAGTGTTAATACTTTTTCAAACAAATATAACATTATTATCATATTTATATTTCTCTGTCCTTTTTTTTCTTTTTTTTTATATACATATATGTAACTGTGATTGTAAGGCACTTTTCATTTACAAGTCAATTATATTGTTCCTTATTATATTATAAAACTATTATTGGACATAAAATAAATAAATTAATAAACATATTTAAAATTATTCGTAATAAATAGAACAGATTTTCATAATTTTTAATTTATCTTTTTTTCTATAAGGATCTTTTCAATTTTCGATACCATCTATAACAATAGCAAGCGTTCAACACAGAAAAAAAAGTGTTATTATAACACCAAAAATGGTGTTAACCTTTTAAACTGCTAGGTGCTAAAAAATTACATTTAGTGCTTCTCCCGGTCTGTCAGACCGCTATTTCTCTTTTGCTTTTCTAAATATTAAATTATTTAAAGTCAACTGTCGTTTATATTTTTTTTTACATTGAAAACTCTATTTCTTTATTTTATTTAAAGTATTTACATATGTTTACAGAATCACGAAAAGATAAAAATAATAATTGCAGGTTATGATGACTTAACAGAACTAGTTGCGCACGAAGAGGCGCAGAAGTTACCTTTAAGAATTTTCAATTTGATTATGTTCTAAAAATCATTATTTAGAATTTTCATTTTATGGAATTTCATTTGTCATAATTATTTTTGAGTCGAATTTTTATTTATTCGAATTTAGTATTTTGCAGGATTTTTATCAAAACTATTCTCTATATTATAGAATTTTTATATAACCGTAAATTCACGTCACAGAATTTTAATTTGTTCGAATTTTTATTTTCTCGAATTTTCATTTAACATAATAGGCATTTGAAAGAATTTTTATTGCGTAAAATATTTCATTGCATAGAATTTTCTTTCGGTTATATAAAAATTCTATAATATAGAGAATCATTTTGATAAAAATCCTACAAAATACTAATTCGAACAAATAAAAATTCGATTCAAAAAATAATTATGACAAATGAAATTCTATAAAATTAAAATTCTGCTAATCATGCGTCCCTTAAATTTGAGAAAAATTGGCACTTAACAGTTTTTCATAAAATATCAAGCTAGTGAAAAAATATTTTCTATTATACTTTGAAAAAAGTAAAAAAAAGAATACTTTAAAAAATCACTTAAAAAAGTAATAAACGAAAAATGTTTAGATAGCGGTCTGAGAGACCCCAAGGGCAGTTTAAAGGTTAAAACAACACACAACACTTTTTTCTGTGAAACACTGAAAAATATGCTATTCAAACAATTTTTTTTTTTTACTAAAAACATGAAAATAAAGATTGAAAACTAGATTTAAAATTGATACAAACGCATGTACTATTGAATTCGTAAAATAGAAAATTAATTCTATATGATATTTTTTTTGAATAATTTTCATAGTTTTGGTAAAAATGTTGTTGACTTAAAAGCGTATATTTTTCTCAGTGGAGTTAATTTTTTAAAGTAAATAAGAATTTATATTTATATAATTTATATTAATTTATACATAATTTTAAAATAACATTTTATGCACGATAAAGCTTTTTCAATTTAATTTATAATACTTACAAAAATTTAAAAAGTTAGTAAATTTTAATATATAATATGTATTTTTTTCAAAGATATCTTATGTGTTTTAATATTAATATACATGCTGATTTTTATGTTCCCGACACCCTAAAAATTTTTTTTTTAATATCATTTTTTTTTGTTCTTTTAACAAAAAAAAGTGGAATAAAAAAAAATTTTAGGGTGTCCGGAACATAAAAATCACTCTGTATATAATATATATATATTTAAAAATTTTTTAATATGTATAGAATATATAGAATATAGAAAGATGTGTCATGGTAAAATAAAATTTCTATAAAAATTCAGCTGGCACAATATTTAGAAAGATTTAAACACAAGTTAGTTGAGCAAAGCTCTTATTGTAATATATTGTAAAAAGTTTGTCATTATGAATAATAATAAATTTGAATTATATTCTAGTAAAAATTTTTTGCTATGAATTAGTAAAATTTTACAAATTCATATAGGGCGCATAATTATTTTATAAAAATCATTAATTAGAATTTTTATTTTAAAAGAATTTATTCTTGATAATTGTTTGTTAGAAAAACTTTTATTTTTCAAATTAGCATTTGATAGAATTTCTTTTTATACGAATTTTTACTAAAGAAAATTTTTAGATACCAAATTTTTGATTGGCAGAATTTTTACTTTATAGTTATTTAATTTACATGTCTTTTTATTTAAGAGAATTTTAATTTAATTCAATTTCTAATTTAGCAGATTTCTCATTCAATCTAATTTTATATGTCTTGAATTTTTAAATAACAGAAATTCAAATTCACCGAATTTTTATTTGAACGAATTTATTTGTCCGAAATTACAAATGGCCGAACAAACAATCGACAAAAAGATTTCGGCGCTATTTTTAAAATTCACCAATCACTATTCTTTCTTGATAATTTCTAATTAGTGAACTTTAAAAATTGCGTCGAAATCTTTTTGTCGATTGTTTATTCGGCCATTGTAATTTCGGACAAATGAATATTCAGCGTCTTCAAAATTATATCCATCAAAAAATTTGGACAAATTAAAAATTCGGTGAATTGGTGTTTCTGTCATTTCAAAATTCGAATAACATAAAATTCAATTAAATGAGAATTCCGTTAAATTAAAATTCACTTAAATGAAAATTTTTTTTAAACGAAAAGTCATGTAAATTAAATGACTGTAAAATAAAAATTCAGCCAAACAAAAATTTAGCATCTAAAAAATTTAGCAAAAAACTTTGCTCAGTAAACTTACTACAAACTTATAACAAAATATTGTGTTGGCTGGAAATTTCAATAATACACTGAGAGTAAAAACTAAATTCTATAGGAACTATTACCATTTTCAATTAGTAAAATATGCAACAAAATGTGCTTCTTTTAAAATGAAGCACAGTATGTATTCACAGAATTCTCTTCAAAAAAAAAAAATTAATGAATATTTCTCTCTACGTATGACTATTTTATGATATATGTATATGATTCAATTAAAATTTAACATGAACAAATGAACATGAAAAGAACTAGCAAAATAGTAGTGGTATATTTTACTAACTAAATGGTATTTTCAACAAATCGTTTCTTTTAGTGTATACACTTATATATATACATATATTTGTATTACATACTAAAGGCAGTACTTTTTCTACCTAATACTTGAATTATGCAGTTTGAACAGATACATTGAGCCGCAATTTACACCGTTCGTTTCTGTCACTGGTTCAAAAATCGAGTTGAGCCATCCCGTGACTCTTTTAAAAAAATGTTACATTTGTGTAAATACGCTCATTCGAGTCTTGATGAAGGGATTTTCCATCTTTACTGATTTTTGGTAACATATTTTTCAATATAAAAAAATTCTTCATCCCTATAGCAGTTCGATCAATCCAGTGTAATAATTATGGGAGTGTGTTTGATTTAACAGTCTCAGAAAGCGATTGAGCAGACTTATTTTATATGTATCATCTGGTTAAAAATAAACTAAAAATGAGAAAATTTTGAATTTGATCTAATTTTGGATGATAAAAAGTAGAATGCTTCGAATCTCTAAAATTTTAACCAGAATATGATTTTAAAAAAAACTAACTGAAGTAAATGTGCAACCAAATGAATAACAGAAATAGGTAACTAAACTTTCATCTATACCCTTAAATTCTAAAATTATGCATAGCAGTATTTTTCTTAAAATTGAAATCACAGAATCCAGCAATATAACATTATCTACGTATATAAATTCTTCTTGGCGTGTGGTTTACTATACTATATAGTTAAAAATGCTTTTTGTCTCTAAAAGGTTTATATATAATCAAACTAATTCAGTTTCTTGAGATACTCTTTCTGTCATTGGAATTCCTCCATCTATATTATTATTATTATTATTAGTCATTGTCAATCCTGGTTGTACATTTACATATCTCACATTTGTTCTTGTATCATCATTGCCCTCCTCGGTATATCTAGATGAATCAATAAATTGTCTTAAAAGTGGTCTTAAACTTTCTTCCTCACTAAATTGTGCAGATGCTTGTGAAGCCGCACTTTGTTCAGGAATTTGTAAATTAGAATCATTCTCAGCATTGACATCTAATAAATTAGAATTCTGTTGAGGCCAAGACAAATGTGGCATTTGCATTTGTCCACTGTGTTCTATTTGAACACTTGCTAATGGAACATCGAGACACGGAAACAGTAGACGAGGATTGTTAGCTAAAAATTCAACTATCTCTGGAGCAGTGGACCTTTTTGTATGATCCACCGACCAACAGGATCGAAACAATCCTTCTCTAGAATAGTCATTTTAAAATCAATAACAAAAATACAGAATTAGAGTTTTTTTTAGAATTAAAAAATATACTCACAATAGTGGTTTAACACCTTTTGGAATTGTTAAAGAATTACCAGCTTTCACATGAGCCAGTACTTGATTATTGCTCAATCCTTGAAATGGAAAACTTCCAAATGTGATAATCTCATATAAAAGAACACCGTATGACCACACATCAGAAGCTGGTGTAAAAATTCCAAGTCCTAAAGATTCTGGTGCCATCCATCGAACAGGTAACATTCCTATAAGATACGCTTCCTATTAGAAACTATCAAAAAATTATTAAAATTGATATCCCTAAGTATACGTACCTTTTCGATTAAATTTATAATAATCATTTTCGTACATCGGCCTAGTCATTCCAAAGTCTCCCAATTTTACCACGCGTTGAGCATTTATCAGGCAATTACGAGAAGCAACGTCTCTAAAAAAACGAACAAATATTAAATATTCTTAAATTTTTCCATTTCTCTTCATCTTACCTGTGAACATATTTTAATTGAGCCAAGTAACTCAAAGCTCTACCAACATCTAAAGCCATAGCTGTCAATTTTTTACTTGAAATTTCATCAGAGTCTTCATATTTTTGATCATTAACAAGATGCCTGCGGGCTAGCAAATAAGTCTTTAAATCACCATAAAGCATAAATTCCATGACAGTAAGTACAGGTTCACATTTAACACAAACTGCCAGCAATTTTATAATGTTTTTGTGATCAAATCTTTTCATAACTTCAACCTCACTGAGAAAATCAAGCTTCTCTTCCGTTGAACTACCGACCTTTAAAGTTTTAACAGCGACAGCCAACCAACCCTTTTCGGGGAAAAATGCCTCTCCACCGTAAACAGTTCCAAAGGCGCCTTCACCAATTTTTCGATTTATCACAACACGATCGCGTGGTATTTCCCATAAACTAGAAGAATCTGTTTGTTGAAGATCTAGACCAAGAGATTTCATATATTTCTCCTGAACTTGCATCTTTTTATCGTATCTAAAATAAAATTTCCTTATTGTTTGTGAGAAATGTAAAAAAAAGGATTTTAACAATTACCTTCTTTTGATCACCATGAAACCAATGACAAGAAATAATCCAAGAAATCCGAATCCAATGACATTAGCTATTATAATAGCACCTTCACACGAAACATTCAAAAGTTCTGCTAAATTTGAGAGAACACATTTTGTTGGTGCTTCAGATCCATCATCAGGTATGGTTCTTGTTAACCAAACTATCGCCGACATATTTAAATCTAAATTACCACCATAGCCTTTTGATTCATTTGGATAGAAATTTCCAACCTCACGTATCTCATCGCCTATTCTTTGAATAATTTTTATCGTTGAAAGTCTTGATGGTCCATCAATAAATTTTATGTGTCCTGATACCTGAAAAGAATATGATAATATTTCGATATTCTTATATCTTTTTTCAGTCTCAAGTAGACTGAATCAGTACATAAAATTATAGTTTACTAACCCCATGAAAATCAGTTTGAGCAATTATTTTAGTGAATCGATTAACTGTATGGTCGGAATGAAGATCGAACACGTAACTCTGATTTTCCTTTAAAAGTTTATCTATTGCCAAAGCATAAGTCCACATTGCATCATAAGCAAAGCCCGCATATGCTAAAAAATTTTATTCCTACTATCAAAATGAATTATTTTAAAATAAAAATTTATTATGTGTATTAGTTTCAAAAGTCGAAAAAAATAATCCTAAACTTCTAGCTTTGGTATAGACGCCAATCATTTTTTAAGATGTCTATAACCGCGTTGAATCAGAAAAATTATTTTTAACATTTCGTCTCTGAAATAACAGTTCTTTGGTTAATTAACAACAGGTGTAAGGACAAAATGTCCAAACAAAATTTCAAAAAATTGAATATCCACTGAAACAAAATTTCTAACCTGTGAGAGGTACATCGTGTTTCGAGGTCCAAGTGTTTAGCTCACCTAATACTCAAAACAGGCTCCTGTGAGAATAGATTTTGCAAAAATGAATTCAACAATCCGAAAATGATTCGTATTAATCAGCAATCAGTCTGGATGAAAAGATAAATCCGAGATCAGTCCAGAATCGTTCGAAATTGACATGAAATAAATCCGCAATTAGCCCGCAACAATTTGATTTTAGTTAGATCAAATAACAATCCAAAATGAATTCAGTATAATACAGAATTAGTAAGTAAACTATCCGCAAAGATTACGCAACAATCCGGATTAAGTACTGTCAAAAAACTGAATTCGACATGAGTCAGTAATAATCCGCAATTTTTTTGTGGAAAATCCGGTATTATAGTCCTCAATAATCCTAATTTATTCTGGTAAAAAATCCTAATCCGAAATGAATCTGGAAAAATCCGGTCTAATCCGAAATTAATTGGATGATACACAATTAATAAACGCAAAATTATTTCTATTGAAACCAAAAATTAATCCGGCCTGTGTAATCAGTAAATCTAGAATCTGCATTCACTAGTTATGTTTGACCAAACTGACTTCGGATTAGACCTGATTAATTCCGGATTCACTAGTTACAGAAATCGGGTAAATTTTAGATTTAGCCGGACTAATTCCGAATGACAATAACCTGACAATAAACCAGATTGTTTCGAACTAATTCCAAATTTGTCCGGAAACAGTCCGGGAGTTTTACCAGAGTTTATTCTGGGATTATATTTTATGCATCACCGCCGGGAATTCATTATAAACCTTATAAAATTACGAGGAAAATGATGTATTAATAAATACTTTTTGACCATTTGGTTCGATTCTATCACAACAACTAAAATCCAACAAACCTAAAATATCTTAACGGGTTCCTCAGATATTATCAAAAATGTACGATACTCAACGATTTTTTATCATCTTCAAAAATGCTTCTACTAAAAAGATTATGCCAAAGCTATAAGGTTTGTCTTTTTTTCTTTCTTTTTGGATTTTAAAGTGTGGCAATTAATAACCTAACAAGTACGTCATTTACTATAGGTTACTATCACCGTAATATTTTAATTTACTGCTATATATTATTAAATACATTACAATAATACCTGATGTACGCTGATTTTGTGAAGCACAACGTTGTTCATACTTTCGTCTCCATTCGCCAACAGTAATGCCTTCTTGCATAATATCATTATCATTGCCATAATAAGAATGTGAGACGCCTAAATGACCATCAATAGCTTTTTTCATTTCATCTGTAGAACATGATATATTAGATCCAAGTTTTTCATTATGCAAATCAATGTCATACCAATTTGAATGAAGCCAAACGGGAAGAAACCATACATAACCCTAAGAAAAATTTAATTGGAAAACGAAAACATTGATTAAATTATTTACTATTTTGAATTTTGAAAATATTACCTGGGCTCCAGTCATTTGCAATTTATAAGCTTCACACATGACCTGACGAGCTACTTGATCATTCACATCAGCAATAATAATTCGAGCACGCTTTTGTTTAAGTTCTTGCAAATACTGAGGAAATTAATTTATTGGAGAATAATTTTCAGAAAACAACTACTGATCTAAAATAGTGAAATTTCAAAATACCTTTGTCATAACATCAAGTTCTCGTTCTCTTGGAAACTTGATGTTACCAATTAAATTTATATCATTGTTCCTAAGTATATCTTGCATATAAGAAATGTATTCTGTGTATTTTTGGCCATCTTCAGTTAGAGCAGCCACTCTTTTCCATTGAAATTTTTTAAATAATGCCAAATACACATATTTGTATTGTTTATTTTCACCAATTGTACGAAAAAAATATGGATATCGACTTCTGTCACTGAAACTTGAACCTTCAGCTCCATAACTGATGACAACAGTTTTATAATGTTTCGAAATACCAATTAAAGGTTCTACTGTTTCGGAGCACGCTGGACCCAGTACTCCAATTAATTTTTCATAATTTGTATGAATTATATAATCTATGAAAGATTTCATTACCATTTCAGGTTTACATTGACCATCACCGGCCATTAGAGTAATTTTATAATCTCTCAAAACTACATTATCTGTATTGATTGCTTCTTTAGCCATTTTTGCAGCAATAACAATTGACTTTGCAGAATAAAAATCACCAGTCATGGGAAATATACCACCAATCACTAAATTATTTTTATTCTCAATTTTTGGTTTCCATTCTGTTAGTGTGTAATTTAAATTATCCTTCAACCACTGACAAGCAATTGTTTCTTCATCTAAAGCAGATTTTCCAAATTTGTTATATCGATTTATTAAGTCCTCATACATTTGTCTTGTAAATTTAGCACGACTTATAGCTTCAAATGCAAATCTTGCTACAATTTCCAATTGCTCCCATACAACTTTTTCCAATTTATTAGATTCATAAGCACAACCTACGACCATGTGTTCTCGACAATGTGGAAATTCAATAGGCACAAATTCTCTTTCATTAGGTATTATTAAACTAGGCGTCCAATGCAAAATAACAAATGATTTATTTGATATGTCTAGTGAGGTAATATTTTCCGATAATTGTTTTGTCAAGTATTTTGTTAAGTACTTCAAATTTGGACCAACCCATGCAACTTGTACATATAACTTTAATAAATCAATATGATCTTTAATAAATAAAGTAACGTCTGGATATTCAGCTAAAATTGTTGCACATGATTCGTCTTTGTGTATTTGACATTGTTTAGGAATATACATTCCATTTTGACAAAATTCCATTTGACAGTAAAACTCTTTTGTCCTGTCATTAATGACATAATTTCTGATTAATTTTAAGCTATTGGCATCCAACACAAAACGCGAAATTGATTCTCTTTTGGTAAATGTTAACCAATTGTCATCTAACTTTGATAATGTTTCTGGTATAAACCAACCAAATCGACCAGGCGATGTCACTGAACCCAGTTCTCTCACATTGTATTTATTTAAAAGTGGCATTGTATCCAGATGAGGTGGAGTCCACACCTCCATATTCACCATAACATCAGGAATTCTATCAAAAAATGAAAATAATAATTTTTATATATTTTGGCAGACATCCGTTTTAGAAGCAGCTCTTTACTATTTTGTCTCACTGATTTTTATTCTTAAAAAAATTTACATTTAAAAATATAATTAAAGAGAAATTGAACCAATATATCCAAAAAGGTCATACAGATTAAAATCGTTAGTCTCTACATTGTTTGAAAAAGAATAGTTTTTTAAAACCCACAATTCACAACCGATTTTGGATTTCTTTTTTTTTTAATAATCTGTATCAAATGTGTAATAGATTTGTCAAGTTTGATTTTTAATTTACATAAAAATTTATATTGCTATAAACAAACTATATTAACAAATTGTTGATTTAGACAACAACTGATGGATTTTAATGAAACTTGTTACTCGGGGGTTTTCGGGGTTGCTGATTACAAGACTGATATTTGTTTTCAAAAATTGAAAATGGCGGAATAATTTGTAAAATGTTACTGAATTCGCTTGAAACTCGATACTCGGGGGATTTTGGGGTCGTTGATTTTGAATCTGAAATTGGTTTTCAAACATTAAAAATATCTGATATAATATGGCAGAAATTTTTTATAAAATTAATTGGATTCCCCTAAATTTTGTTATTTGAAGTTTTCAGGGTCGTTAATTACGAATCTGATTTCTGTTCTTAAAAATTCAAAATGGCCGATCCAATATGGATGAAATTTTTTTGTCAAAATTGATTGAAATCGCTTAAATTTTGTTACTCGGAGGATTTTCGGGTTCGCTGATTACGAATCTAATATCAGTTTTCAAAAATTCAAAATGGTGGATCTAATATGGCGGACATAATTTCTAAAATATTACTTAATTAGCTCGAAATTTGTTACTCAAGGGTTTTTGGGGTCGCTGATTACGAATTTGATGTCGGTTTACTAAAATTCAAAATGGTGGATCCAATATGGTGGACATAATTTGTAAAATGTTAATGAATTCGATTGAAATTCATTACTCGGGAGTTTTTGGGGTCTCTGATTACGAATTTGATGTCAGTTTACTAAAATTCAAAATGGCGGATCCAATATGGTAGACATAATTTGTAAAATGTTAATGAATTCGATTGAAATTCATTACTCGGGAGTTTTTGGGGTCGCTGATTACGAATTTGATGTTGGTTTACTAAAATTCAAAATGGCGGATCCAATATGACGGTCATAATTTAAAAATGTTAATGAATTCGATTGAAATTCATTACTCGGGGGTTTTTGGGGTCTCTGATTACGAATTTGATGTCGGTTTACTAAAATTCAAAATGGCGGATCCAATATGACGGTCATAATTTAAAAATGTTACTGAATTCTCTTGAACTTCGTTACTCGGAGGTTTTCGAGATCGTTGATTAAAATTTGATGTTGTTTTTCAAAAATTTTTATCATTTTATCATCATCATCAATATTTCAGAAATTTTGTTCATACAACAATTCAAAACTCCACTAGAATGTACACTAACAAATCCATTTTGATTTTAGATTATCAGGGCCGGCTCAATTGGGGCACCGCAAAAAATTACAATTACAATTTTTACACTCTGATTTTAGCGCCCTCTGGACCTAATAATTTAAATACACAAATTGTCTCGTTTAGTTAAAATATAGTTTTTAATTGTAAATTTTATTTAAATTTAGAAAAAAAGTGAGTAAGAAAAAAAATAGTAAAAAAAGTGGCCAATTTTCGTGTTCTAAAACGGACTTCTACTTTAAATTCCAAATAAAATATGATTTCATTTTCGTGACAAATTTACTTACTCTCTGTATCCAGAAGCTATCATTTTATCGGATAGTCTAGAATAAGTAATATTTGTTTGAAAAAAGTCTTCATTTTCAATTACAGCAACGTCTGGATAACCCAAAATATCAGTCAAAAAAATTTTCATAACCCTCGTCACAAGCCTTTGCGTCACTCTTCGTGAGATTTCAAAATTGATACTTAATAATTGACCTTCATAATGAACAACCCTTTTTGGTTGTATATCTGTAATTAAAAAAAAAAATTAATTTCTAAATTTACATGTTTCCCCATTTATAATTTTTAAAATTAACTAACCTTCAGTTAGACAAGTGTTCGAATATGAATTCTTGACGAAAATTATAAAAACCATTAAACTGAGGATATACCTTGAAACAAGCATTTTTTGGTATATACCATTTATGTTGTCACCTATAAAAAAAATAACAAAAAAAAAATTAGAAATATTCACTTTTTGTTTTCAAGAAAAGAGAAATAATTTTATATTATTTTTGTATTTTATATGCCTCTTAGAATGAAAATTTAAAAATCTCATAATGAACATATATTTATAAGTTTATATGATGAAAAATTACGCATGATTTTAATCTTATGGAAAAATACTAGAATGATGTTAATAATGATCTTTGACTTAAAAAATTTTGATTGCAAAATGTTTTACTTTGAAAATCATCAACTACTGATATAACAACACATCAAAAAAGAATTTTTAATGAAAAGCATTTTTTTCTTGTTTCTTAATATCAATTGCATTCATCAATGAAGTACTGAGAAAATTATTTCAATACAATTTTTACTGAGAATCAGATTAAAATTTATTAAAATATTACTTCGATTAAAAAATTAAATTTTTATTGAATAAAATATATTACTATGGAAAAATTAGTTTTTTAAAAAATAATTTTAAAAATTTACTGCATTCACAATTATTTTTTTAACATTTTACAAATATAAAATGTTTATTTATTTTATAGTAAACAATCGCTGTAATGTTAAAATGTTATTGATTCAAATTTAGAGTATTAAAAAAAAAAATTTCATTATTTTAAAATAAAAAATTTTTAATAAAAACTTTTATTGTGTCTGAAAAACATATATACAAAAAATATAATGATAATGATTAATGACTTTTATTTACAATGTCAATGACTGCCGTTATTTTCTAGGTATATATATATATATACCTATATATAGATCCGTGATAGTAATGTAGATCATTTCTTGACAAGCACTTTAGTTTCATAAAACACTGATGAAGAAAATTATAACTTCACAACATTATAAACTTAATTTTTATTACATAAATTATCAGAATGGAAATCAATAAACAAAGAAATACAAAATTTATTTATTATTGTAAAATTTATTAAATTTATTTTATTATTAAATTATTTATTATATGAATTTTTTTTTGAGAATTGAAATTGAAAATGTGAAGTCTTAAAGTCTTCAGGTAATATGTAAATTAGAGTAAATAAATAAAATTCTACGAAGTGTTTCAAAATTCAGTCATTACGACATATTGACTAAAAGTTATTCTTTAATACAACACGCAAGAAATTTAGAAATATTAATTTTTTTTTATTAGTATTTTTGTTATAATTAAACTTATAATTCAATTATTTTCTACTCTACGGTTTTTGTTCACAACCTTTAAGAAAAATTATTATTTACATTAAAAAAATTAATAAAAATTTAAAGTAAAATATAAAATATTGAAATTTAATTTTAAATATTTAATTTATTATTATATGAAACTTAAAATTTTTTAAACTTTTTAATTTAAAAAAATTTTATTTTTATTAATTACGTATAAAAATATGAATTTTTACCATTTTACGCTAAAAGAACAAAAATAATAAGACGCACTTATTTTATTTATTTTTATTTATTGTACTTATATACATTTTTATAATGAACTAGGATATTTTAGACGCCAGGTATGTGTACATTATATATATATATATATTGTATGTTTAAAAGAATGTAGCACGCATTAATTTTGAACTTTGAACATATCTGCTGTACAAATAATGTACATGTTCATTATTTATGTGATCCATACTTCCCGTGCATTACAAATAGATGAAATATTATTAATTTTAAAAATAAAAATACGCGCAGAACAATAAATTTTAATTTCTCTAGTGAAACCTGTTAAATGGCGTTATTATTGATCAACATTTAAGAGTAATAAAAACTATCATAAATTGAACAAAACAAAACAATTGAATCATTTCTCCCCGAATCAAAATTGTTTAAAAATTAAAAACAATTTTATTATTATTTTTTTTATTTTATAATGAAAATTATTATTTTACACCACAAAAATATTATTATATTCTATTTATTTAATTATTTGATTAAATCTAATTTATTTTAAAAATAATTACAATATTATCAATTAACAAATTTCAATCATGATTGGTATAGAGAGAATTCATGTTTAAAAAAAGGCGTTTCATTGATTATTCATTTTATATTCATTTAATCTAATAATCATTTTAACCTTTCAAATGACTCTATCATAAAGTTAATTTACTTTTTTTTTTTACTAAATAAATGTCACACATATATATGATTTTTAAAATCCTGTTTTCTTTCTAATCAATTTATTTACTATTTACAATTAACTTTTTTAAAAATTGTTGATAAAATTTTTGTCTTATCTTTCATAGAGGGAATTTAATTTCTGTATATATATATAATGTGTGTAACTCTCTGAGACTACTTTACCGACTATCACGTTTATTTTTAGTTATATGACGTCTTCCTCTTGAAAGCATTCACATTCAATAAACGAACATTGATTGTAAAAAAAAAATTTAGTGTAAAATTGGAAAATTAATATACTACAATTTTTAATATAATAATTAATTTAAATGATCTTTTAAGAAAACAAAAAAGAAAAACCTGTTACTATTTTTATTTGTTAATAGAAAATTTTTATAATAAATTAAAAAAATATTATATTACAATTAACTTAAATTATTGATTTTTGTGATATAATCATGTAATTGAATGCTCAAACTAATTAAATACATGCGTAAAGTTTTCGTCCACTACTTTTTTTTCCAGTGTTACTAAAAATAACAGCTGTTTACGTTTATGTCTATACATAGCAGTCATGAAAAACAATGTACCATGAATAAAATTTTGCAACAACATGCATTTGTAAATTTGATGAACTATATTTGGCTATTAGAATACTTTATTATTTTTATTATTATTATTATTGTTATTATTATTATTCTTATTATTATTATTATTATTTTTGTTACTGTTATTGTTGATATTATTATTATTTTTATTAACAATCATAACTAATATGTAAAAATAAATTACAAAAATTATTTTATTTAAAATTCATTAATAATTCTCTATTTTTCAATTGTTAATGATTCATTCTTTTAATTTAAAAAAAAAACAACACATTTTATAATAGACTATTTGAAATTTAATTACATTGTTTTTTTTTTCAAAATTCCACTTTGATTTTATGTAATTTTAGAAAAAATAATTTTTTGATAATAATTTATATTCTTACCGTTATTAAGAGACCAATTTAATAACTGAAACGAATATATTGACTTATTGCATTTGCACAATTAATGCGTTTTGTTTTGATATGACAGAAGTGCTAGTCATTATTCATCTTCGAATTTCAAAACTCATTTGTATTGGTTCTAGAATTTGACGCACTTCACAAATGTTCTTCATTTTTGTTCTTTTTTTTTTGTTTTTTTGAAAGTGAAAATGAACTTTCTTTTTTTCAAAGTCAAAAAAGAAGAACTTAAAAAGAAAATAAAGTATACAATATAAGTACACGCAATTTATAAAAGAAGAACAACCCACTTTAAATCTGAACGCTGCCAACGCTGGCAGCTGACTACTGTCGACTGATATATCACAGACTATCCGATAAAATTACCGAAAAAAAAAAAAATACAATATTAACAATGAAATTTTTTTTTTAATGCACACGAAAAAATTTTATTTATTATATTCTTACATGAGAAAGTAATAACAAATTTAAAATTGAAAGTCTGTTATAAAATTCAAATAAATATTTAAAAAGTGAAATACAATAAAGTTTGGGTAAATAATATAAATTTTGTTTAAAAAAATTTTTTTTTTATCTCTACTCACCATGTGGAATAATTAGTTTAAAGACTAAAGAGCATATTTATTAAAAATATTCTAAAACTAAGTCCTATATTTATCTATGCATATACATTTTACAGTTTTACGGTAAGAATATTTTCAAATTATAAATTCTTAAATGTATTGATACTTCGTCCCGTTGCTTTGTCGAGCATGCGTAGTCATAATTTGATTTCCTGGTCAAATATCTTCCTTCTATTTATATATGTAAAACGGAAAGTATATGTACAGGCACTTTTCTCTCATAAGGAATATTAAATTTTTTTTTGTATTTGCAATAAATTTATTGTTTATCTTCAACATTGGAGATTACTAATGGCGTTGACATATGAAATTGTATTAATATTAATAAATACATGGTGATTGCCCCCGTTATCTGTAAAACAATATACTTTTAATTTTTGAAAAAAAAATATATATATATATACTTTTCATCCACAGCACAATATATTTTTAACGAATTAAACTGAGAAAAATATTTTCAACACATTTTTTAAATTATGTCCTTCATATTGTATTCGATATTTTGAATTTTTGAAAACCGACCTCAGATTCGTAATCAGCGACCTCGAAAACCCCCGAGTAACGAGTTTCAAGAGAATTCAGTAACATTTTTTAAATTATGTCCACCATATTGGAGCGACCATTTTGAATTTTAGTAAACCGACATCAAATTCGTAATCACTGACCCCAAAAACCCTCGAGTAACAAGTTTCGAGTGAATTAAGTAACATTTTTAGAAATTATGACCACCATATTGAATCCGCCATTTTTAATTTTTGAAAACCGATAATAGATTCGTAATCAGCGAACCCGAAAACCTCCGATTAGCAAAATTTAGGCTAATTTACTAAATTTAAAAATATTTTCTCCCCCATATATAGATAAAATAAATTTTATTAAATTTTTTAAAAATTCAGTCGAACAATTTTCAAAATAAATTATTTTGCGCAAAACTTTGTTGTGAAATAATAATTATTTCAGTTTTATATATATTTTTTTTTGTTTAAAGTTTGTAAATAATTGTAATTTTTATCAAATTTCTACAAACAATAGCTCATTTTGTTCTTTGAAAGATTTTCTATACAATATTCTGTTCGTTGAATTTTTTTAACAATTTTTTTTCTCAAAATTTAATAAATAAATAAAATTTTAACCATTATTTTAAAACCAATTTTTAAAAAATACAAAATCAAAATTGTAGAGAATTTTTCAAAGTGAAAATAATAAAAAAAAAAACTCTATAAAAATTGAATATAAATTACGATTGTTACATATATTTTAAGAAAAAACAAAAAATATTAAATTAATTAATATTTGACAATAAATTTTGACAAAAAATATTTTTTTTTTTAAATTGAACAACTAAATCTTTCAAAATTTTTGTGTAATATAAATTTTTACTGTGAGTATAAAAAATAATTTTTTAGTTTTGAGGTTATGCTACGGGGCTAAGTATACCCTTAAGTGAGTTATTTACAACATTTTTCTTAGCACTGCAGGCGAAAAATTCTGATTCTGTTTGAAACTGTCAAATTTGCAATGATTTTTAATAGGTTAGAAAGTTTTTTTTCATGTTCTTTATATTTTTCCTCTATTTTCTAGGAAATAAGCTTTCATTTCCTTTTTCATTCATTAAAATCGGTCAATTCTATCATATGTTCTATGATTTTGACACAAAAAAAGCATTTTTATCCACTCTGATTTCGTTTGTCCAAATAAATATCGGGCAAAAAAATTTGGGCGCTAATTTTTAAAATTAACCAATCATAATATCGTCGATAACTTCTGATTGGTTAATTTTTGAAATCTACGGCCAAATTTTTCGGACAAATTAAAGTTTAATAAAATAAAAATTGGAATTGGAAGTGAAAATAAAAGTGGAACATTATCGACCCCCCCAAATTCAGATTTTTGTAGAAAAGAATTTCTAAACACAGAAAAAAAGGTGGGTAAAAAGTTGTAAAGATAGAGGATAAAAGTCGTTAGGATACAGGGTAAAGGATAAATTTGTGATGGATAAAAATGTTACTAAAATATTACTAGAAAAATGGATGTCATATTTGAGTAAACTGTCTAATTTTAATAAAAATATTAGTAATTTTACACTTAACTTATTAAATCCACAAATTTTATATAAATAAGTAATTGCACGTGGAAATATTTCGCCTATAATTATTGTCAATTAATAAAAATATCTTTGACTAATACAACTGACAGCTGACGACAGTAGGTAAATAATCAGAACTGGGAAATTACAACTCAACGTCTGTATTGTTGCCGGAAACAAAGTTGGGTAGTAACTGAATTTTTTGTGCATATTAGGCTGTGTCAGTTCATCGAGATATTTAGAGTTTAAGTTATGATATCAGAGGCGTGGAGGGACAACAAACAGACGACACAATGTTATTCTTACGGGGAAGAAAATTTGTTTCCACTTTCATCAATTTTATTCATACTTTAAACACGGAAAACGCTTGTTGACATATAATAAAATTAAAATGTGTGTTGATAATTAATTTTGTTATATATTTGAATCAATTGCATTTATAGATTCTCTGAATTCGTGATAAAATATAAATTTTGAGGTTAGGGGTGTTTGTTTACTAACTTGAAATCTTTTACTGCTGCGGTAATTCACACTTAAAATATACATTTTATATCTTTTTTAATAACATGCCTACTGGATATTATTTAATAATGTTAAAATGTAAAATGTGATTAGTAAACAAACTTTTCTAACCTCAATATTTATATTTTATCACGAATTCAGAGAATCTATCAATGCAAATGAATCAAATATATAACAAAATTAATTATCAACACACATTTTAATTTTATTATATGTCAACAAGCGTTTTCCGTGTTTAAAGTATGAATAAAATTGATGAAAGTGGAAACAAATTTTCTTCCCCGTAAGAATAACTTTGTGTCGTCTGTTTGTTATCCCTCCAGGCCTCTGACGTCATATCTTGAACTCGAAATATCTCGATGAACTGACACAGCCTAATATGAACAAAAAATTCAGTTACTACCCAACTCTGCTTTCGTGCAACAATACAGACGTTGAGTTGTAATTTCCCAGTTCTGATTATTTACGTACTGTCGTCAGCTGTCAGTTGTATTAGTCAAAGATATTTTTATTAATTGACAATAATTATAGGAAAAATATTTCCACGTGCAATTACTTATTCATAAAAAAATTGTGGATTTAATAAGTTAAGTGTAAAATTACTAATATTTTTATTAAAATTAGACAGTTTACTCAAATATGACATCCATTTTTCTAGTAATATTTTAGTAACATTTTTATCCATCACAGATTTATCCTTTACCCTGTATCCTAACAACTTTTATCCTGTATCTTTACAACTTTTTACCCACCTTTTTTTCTGTGAATATATTATACAATAGTCTGAAATTAGTTTGAAGGCAAAATATTCAAATTTTGTGATTTCAAAAATACGAATTCTACATGTAAGAAAAAAAATCTACTTCGGACTCTGCATATAAAAATTCCAGATTCATATTGAATTCAGATATGTGATTATGTACTTAATTCAAATTGTTGTGAACTAATTTTAGATTTTTGACCTGCAGACTAAGAATACAAAATTGTTGCTGATTGATTGCAGATTTTGAACATAAAAATTCCGGATTATTCACAATATTTTTTTGGATTAAGATTTTTTGCTAACAAAATCTAGTTTATTATGAACAGATTTGGACATTGTATAAATTCAAATTGTGGACTCAATTTTAATTCAAATTTTCGATCAAACTAAATTCAGAATGTAGCACAATAAATTCTTTATACAATACAAATTTTTGGATTATTTCAGACTCTTTATGCGGATTCAAATTTTTGTCCTAAATTGACAGCAGAATGTTACTGATTTTGTACGTAAAAATTTCGGATTATTCCCTTATTTTAAACTAAATCTGTATTGTTGCGAACTAATTGAGAATTAGTCCAGAATAAGTTAAGAATTTTAATGAAAAATTTTATTAAAATTTTTGAAAATTTTAAAGTTACTTGAATATGATAAATATTTAGGAACGATCATGATTTAAGAAAAAATAATATTGTGCTGAGTGAATAGAAAAGTTTTTAATAAATTCATACCTCATTGAGTAGTGAGAAGTTAATAACAAGACCTCTTGCACAAAATACATTATTGCGATGCAGAAGTTGCAAGGAAAATAAATAAAGCTAAAAAAAATAATTTAAAAATAAATTCATCATTATATTTTTAAAATTTCTATTATTGAACCAATAGAAATTTTGTTACCATCATTTATTAATATAAATCATCTATATTATTACCTCTTCCTTTATCTTGACATCATGTGTTGATAATAAAACATCGTGAACTGTATTTCCAATTTTTTGTGCTTGAATTTTTGCATTTTCACAAATTCTAACAATGAAAGTTAGCTTCAACACATAATAAAACATTGCTATGTAAAAATGTAATTCAAAAATTTCCTCAGCATTATTTCGTAAAAGTTTTAAAATATAAAAATAAAGTCTAAAAGTAATTTCTGTGAACATCATTGTTATACTTGCAACAACATGAAGGCCATATGTGGAATTTAGCATTTTTAAAATATCGCTTACTTCATGATGTTCTTTTTGAAGTTTATTAATTTCAATTAACAACAATGAATTATGCTGCTCATGATAGGTTCTTCTCAAAAGATGTGGCTCCTTTGTCATCATAGTAAATTTTAAATTTTTCAGTGTTTCATTAATTTTTTTAAAACACATTTCAATAACATACACACAATTAATATATTGTGTATCAGCAAGAAAAACCACCAATGATACATGCAAATATGTAACACTTATCAAAGTTTGAATATCGTAAATTACAATATAAGTTAATGTAAATATTAAAAAAATATAACCAACAATATCTTTTGCTATTATTAATTTTGAAATATTATTAAAATATTCCTGGGGAATATTTGACGATACTGCAATGATTTTTTGAAAAAATTTCATTCTTGGTATACTAAATACATGTGTGAATATCATAATAAAGCCACCAAATAAAAGATAACAATTTTTTTGTAACATATCAGGAACTCCTTTGCCCAAATTACCATAGACATTCATTTGATAAAGTAACATAAATATAAAAAATGCATTGATAAATGTCATTAAACTGGAATAAAAATACATTAATTTTGAATAAATTATAATATTATTTTCAATTGAATATGGAAATATGCCATGAATACGACAAAGTAGGAAATTTATTTTCATTAATGATAAAAAATTTGAGACACGAAATAACCACTTTTTCATGATTGTACGTACACGTCAACAAGTAATAGTATAATATGGATAATAATAAATTTACCTTCATTATTGAAATTAATCAATTTAATTTCCAAAGTGCTTTATTGATCATGTTATTAACGATTAAACGGTTTTTCATTTTCTATGACATTATGTAAGCAATTTATTAAATATAGAATTCAATAAAATTAATTGTATTATTAAACTTATTGATTGAAATTATATACATATAACTCTGTAATAATTACTATTTGTTATTTTAAATTAAAAGAAACAAAATTTCAATAGAAATTTCTATAAGTGACAATTTTTTTCCATGTGAATATGTCAATTATCTTTCTTCACAAAAAGGTTTTGATGAGACAAGAAATTGTATCAAAATTAATAAATAAGTTGTAATCCCACCAACAAGCTGTAAAAAATATTATATATAATATAAAAATTGAAAAACATTTCTACTTCGATAGTAAGTCAAAAAACTGAATTGGCTTGAAAGGGTCGCACAATTATTCTATAAAAATCATTAATTCTTCTTTAGATCTTCTTTAATTCAATTATTTAACAAATTTTGAACTAAAATGATTCTTCACTAAATTAATTATTTTTAATCATTTTAATTAAATACATCAGAAATTCAATTATATCAAAATTATTTTTCAATTAAAATTTTTATGAAATTTAACAATTGTTTATAATTTAAAAAAAAATATCACAATAAAATTAAAATATTTTTTAAAAATTTCAATTCAAAATAAACTAAAATTCAATTATTACCCGAAATTTTAATTTAAAATCAATTCAAAATCCAATAATTATCCAAAATTTTCAATTTAAAATGAAATAAAATTCAATTATTTCCTAAAATTTCTATTCAAAATTAATTATCCAAATTTTCAATCAAAAATGAACTTCAATTAAATTATTATCCATAAAATTTCAATTAAAATTTAATTATTTCCCAAAAATTTTCAATTTAAAATCAAATAAAATTTCATTATTCTCAAAAATTTGAATTCAAAATTAATTGAATTTTCAATAATTTGAATTTAAAAGCATCTAAAATTTAATTATTTCTAAAATTTTCCATCGAAATTTTTTTTTTTGAAATTTAATAATTTGAATTATAACTCTAAGGAAATTGAATTATTTTTAACAATTTTAATAATATTCTTTGAAAATTCAACTATCTGAAACCATTTTTCAATTAAAAATGATTTTCAAATTATTGTATTTTGTCCGCATTTTCTAATAAATTTTTAGTGAAATCATCTAAAATTTTAATTACAAAACACTTAAAGTTTCAATTCAATTTCTGTTAATTGTTTTTGTTCGGCCGTTTATAATTTCGGAGAAATGAAAATTCGGCGTCTTAAAAATTCTGCCAAACAAAAATTCGGTATAGCTAAAAATTTTGTTAAGTAAAAATTCGTGTAAAAAGAAATTCTGTCAAATGCTAATTCAAAAAATAAAAATTCTTTTAAAAAATAATTATTTCTATTAAAATTCTTTAAAATTTCTTCTTTCTTGTATTTTCAATGAAAATCTTTCTGAATTTGCAAATAAGAAGCAAAAAATTATAGATTATATTTTTATATTGTCATACCGCTGTCAGCAAACTCGCATCTAAAGTTATTCCTCTTGCCATAAGTGAATTATCTCGCTGAAGTATTTGCAACGAAAATAGTTGAAGCTGAGAAATAAAATTTTAAAATTACAAGAATCTCTTGATTTTTTTTCTCGTATTATTTAAAGGGTGCATGATTATCCCATAAAAATCTTTATTTAAAATTATCATTTTAAAAAATTTTAAATTAGATATAATAATAATAATAATTATTATTATTATTATTATATTATTATATTATTATATTATTAATATAATTATTTTTTTAGACGAATTTTTATTTTTTGAATTAACATTTCACAAATTCACAGAATTCTTTTTCTAAACAAATTTTTACTTTACAGAATTCTTATGTGTCGAATTTTTATTGTACAAACTTTTTAAAACAATTTTTGATTTGTCCAAAATTGCAAATGGCCGAACAAACAATCGACAGAAAGATGTTTAAAATCCACTAATCAAAAGTTATCAAAAAAAATTGTGATTGGTGGATTTTAAAAATCGCGCCGAAATCTGTCCATTGCTTTTTCGGCCATTTGCAATTTCGGATAAATAAAAAATTAGGCGTTTTAAGAATTCTACCGAATAAAAATTCGGTGCTTAAAAATTCTGTTAATTAAAAATTCTTTAAAAAGAAGGAAATTCTGACAAATGTTAATTCAAAAAATGAAAATTTGTGTAAAAAATAATTATATTTAATAAAATTGTTGAAAATGAAAATTCTCACTAATAATTTTTACGGGATAATCATACACCTCTTATTTAATATTTACCCCGACAGTAAAATTATGCACAATTTTATGAATTTCTGTGGTCATATATAATATTTCCCCAAAAAATTTAATTTTTCTTTTCTAAGAAAATCTTCAAAATTTATTTATACTTAAGAGTGTTGAAAGGTCTCTGAAATTCTTTGCGAAAGAGAGATTTTTAATTATCGCCCTATAAAAACGGCATTGAACGTGAAAATGATAAACATTTAAAATACATTTTTCTCGAAACACGGTCACTTTTTACAAAATCGGCCAAAAACAGCTAAATGTTCCTTATATTATAAATTCCCTAAATCCGAAAAATTGTCCGAATCCATACAAAAACGCGATTGCAAAACGAAAAGTAGGAAAGTAATATAATGACAGGTTCATTTTGTCCTGCTGCCGCCAGATGGCAGAAGCATGCAGGGAAGCAAAAAGTCGCAGCTGTTATTATTATACATTCCTAATTTTTTTTTTAATCGTGTTTTTGTATGGATTCGCACAATTTTTCGGATTCAGGGAATTTTTATAATATACGGATCATTTAGTTGTTTTTGGCCGATTTTGTAAAAAGTGACCGTGTTTCGAGATAAAAGTATTTTAAATGTTTATCATTTTCACATTCAATGCCGTTTTTATAGGGCGATAATTAAATGCCAAATAATTTCAGAGACTGTTCGGCACTCTTAAATAACAATGTAGTTTGTAATTTCTTTCCAATATACAAAATTTTAATTTTTGGTTTAAAAATTTTTTTTTAATACAAACCTCATATGAATTTTTATGAATTAAAAATATATTTTTCAATGATATATATATATATGCATAATTTTTCCACTAGGATATATTTTGCATTATTTATTATACGCACTTCATCTTTTAATTGTTGTTCATCAGAATTTAGTAGAACTTCATGAACCAAAGTACCTGTTGACATTGCTTCATTTTTGTTTAATTGACACGCCCAAATCAAGCCAGTGAACTTTACAGAATAATACGATACCGATGTTATAAAATACGAATACCAAATTTGTTTTTCCAAATTAATTTTTTTTTCACTACGACTATGTAATAAATAAAAATATAAACTCAACGTAATTTCTGTAAATGTTAAAATAATTGATGAAACAATTTGAAAACTATATGTTGAATTAAGTTTCTCAAGAACTTGACTAACGGAAAAATGCATTTCTTTAATTGATTGCAATTTTAAAATTGAAATTGAATTTTTACGTTCATGAAAAAATGTCACCAATAATTGATTTTCATTCATTAAAATATTATTCTTCAATTTAATAAGATTTTCATTAATATTTTTAAAACATATCAACAATACCAATACAATATTCATATATAGACAGTCTGTCAAATATATCACCAATGTTGCATATAATGAATAAGCTTTACATACTGCAACATAAATATTTTTATCAGAAATATTTGGAATTTGTCCTATTAAAAAAATGAAACCAAATATATCTTTTATATAAATGAATAGTCCAATTTTTTGAAATGCCTCTTTGGGTACATTTGATGAAACTTTAAATAAATCCTGAAGAAATGAAAGTCGAGGAACAGTATGAATAAGATTCCAAATTCCAACGAATACACACATTATTACATAACTATTGCCCTGTAATAGTCCAGGAATGTTGTCGTACTTTAAAGTACCTGATATGTCTGTTTGATATAAAACAACAATTCCATAACCTAAATAACACGTCATTATTGTAAATGTGATAAAATACCATGATTTAGATAATGAAATTGACATATTGACAATGTCATAAGAATAAGGAAATATTCCATGTAAGCGGGATAAAATAAAACATGGTTGCATTAATGAAACTGTATTATGAATTTTTAATTTTTTAAATGGATTTAATAATTCACTAATTACTGACATTTTTGATTTTTATTTTAATGGTTTTTTTTAACAACTGAAAACTTTATTGAAAATATTCAATGTAATATATATTTCTACAAATGTTTGAAAATTACGTATCCATAGTGATGACATTTAATTTTCATTTATCGCAATTAAGATGTCTATTATGCTAAATGAATTTGTTAACTTTGTTGTTATTAATTTTCATAATGAGCAAAATTGTAATTTATTATTATTATCGGGACGCATTAATAAGTTCTAAAAATCAATTGTTAGAATTTTCATTTAATAAAATTTCATTTGATATAATTTTCATTGAGCCGAATTTTATTTGTTCGAATTAATATTTTGCAGAATTTTCATTAAACCGATTTTCTATATTACAGAATTAATAAATAAAAATTCAGTGAAGCGAATTTTCGATTATATAAAAATTCTGTAATATAGAAAATCGGTTTAATGAAAATTCTGCAAAATAATAATTGGAACAAATAAAATTCGGCTCAATGAAAATTATATCGAATGAAATTCTATTAAATGAAAATTCTAACCATTGATTTTTAGAATTTATTCATGCGTCCCTTATTATTATTATTTTATTATTTTTATTATTATTGCTATTATTATTGTTAGTCTCTGTAAAAATATAAAGAAGTATCAGGTAAAAATTAAATAACAATAACACATAAATGTCTGGAAAAGCCAATACTACTTTTTATTTGATTAACAACAATCACACTCGCGTCAATTACGTTCTCTCGAAATAAAATAATATTATACATTATTAAATAAAATACTTTTTTGTATTAAATAACATAATACATAACTTTTTACACATCATTTATTCATTATTAATAAATTTATTTTTAAACTATGTTATATATTGTGGAATAATTATTGATTAACTATATTTTATTTATTATAAAAAATTTTAGAATTCAAGTTGAATATTTAGAAAATTATTTTCATTCTAACCATATATATATATAGTAACTGTGCAAAGCTGAAACAATATTGAGTTCTTTTTAAACGTTTCTTATAACTATTTTTGTTTTTACGAAAAAATAAAATATTTTACATAACATATATGTAATATATTTATATAGAGCCGGTTTTCACCGTTTGGATAAATTTAATTTTCCGAGAGGTTGTAGTTATTTTTTGCGTCTGCGCAGAAGCTGTGTACAAACATTCTGCGCAGACGTAGAAAATATATCTACTGCCTTAACCTCTAGATTAAATTTATCCACACGGTGAAAATAGGCTCATATTATTGTAATATTATTTATCTAAATTATCAAAATTTAATAACTTTAAGGAAGACAATTTAAAAATAATTTTTCTTTTTCAATTTTTTTTTTCAATTTTCAGACAAAAATTTCAATAAAACATACCGAAGTAAAGGTAATAATTATACGCAGAGAATCACCTTCTTATATTATTGTAAATTTTAAAATTAAAACTGCAAAAAAGAAAATATTTTTTTCCTTAACAATATTGATGTTTAATCACTTCCAATATTAAAACTTATTCTCACCTTTTTTTTTTTTTTTATTAATTATTACATGTATATTGTGGCACTTAATTTGTTTTATCTAACAACAAAAACAGCATTGAAATTCATTTAGACAGTAAAATTTTATATTCCGTATTTTTTATATATCAAAAAGTAGCGCAGGTTTTATTGTTGTTCAATTCACCGAAAAAAATATTCTTGTATTCAGAGGAAAATTCCTCTTACAGAATCCTCTTGAATTTTATTCTTAAAACAAGAGTAATACTCTTTAAATACAATACGTGCCTATTTTTGAAGGTAAAAGAAATTTTTAAAAGTAATTTTTAAAAAAAATTTAAAAATTTTGAGGTTATGCTATTTAAAATTTTATTTTATTACGATTTTTATTTATTTTAATTTTATTTAAAATTTATTTTAAATAAATTTTCAAATTTAATGAATTATATGTTTTGCGCATAAAAATATTATTAAAAATAGATTTAGTTGATTTATTCAAAAAAATTAAAATCAATTTCAATTTATTTATACTCAAATAGATGTAAATCATGGAATAACAAATTTTATTCCTTTTAATTTTATAGATTATATCTATATGACAGACAAATTAGATGATTGCATTTTTATTATTTCAGACTTCTTTTTATGATGATATTTTCCTCTTAAATTAAGAGGAATAATTTTACTAGAGGACAATCCTCTTAAACCTAGAGGACATCCTTTTTCAGCATATACTAGAGGAAAATATGCATTGAAATGAGAGGAATCCTCTTGATACAAGAGGATTTTTTTTTCGGTGAAAAGTGGTTTTTATCATTTTTAGTTTAACTTTGGTGGTATAGAGGATATTTTCAAATATAAATTTCATTATCACGTGTCAGTATTATTATGTGTTCCAATAAAATTTTTTTTTCTATTGGGAGTGATATAAGGCACCAGATTTTGAAGAAAAAAAAACAATTAATTTAATGTCTTTTGAGAATTAGATAAAATTTTAGTTCTTGTGCATCACTAGGCCATAAAAATTGTTATGATCATATATCGAATGTTAATATTTTAACTGCGTGCGTTTGTGTATATTTTTTATTTTTAAATTATTCAAGTTCAAAATAATACTTAAATATATGTACCGTGACTTTTTATATTAATTAATTAAGTATTTAAAAAAAAAAACATATTTACGTCCACGTGAAAAGGGCCGATTTTGGTACTATTGCATGATGGGAATCACTTAAGATTTCAGTTTTTTGGTTAGAAAAATGAAAACATGTGTTTTGACAGCCGAAAAAGGTACTGCTAACTTAATATTGCGGTTGCATTTTCTGCGAAATTAAGATAAATATTATTTTTGTTATTTTTATGATTTATTATATATTATGTATAAAAAAGGGAAAAATACAAATTATTAATATAACTTAAGAGGTGACTCTACCCTGAATGATTATATAAAAAACAATTTTTGAAGAATTTTCTTCTATTTACATAGAAGCATATAATTTAAACACAGCTTCTTGACATTTTGTACCTATTTTGTTATAAAATATTTAATATATACCGGAGTTAAAAAGTTTCAGTACATTTTTGATAGATTGATAAATAATACTCGCTTTCACTGTGAATAAAAGCATTTTTGTTTATTTGTAAAGTTTTTAAATAAGACCGCTCATTTTAACCAATGAGAGGACCGGCCGTTTCATGACTTGCGTGCTAGGTGCGTGAGTCACGTGATATTTGTTGTTAATATGGCGTTGGCTTCTTGACATACGTTAACACCGTCGGTTTGTATATATATATACTGTTTAAAAAAGTTTATTCGACAGGATATCTATAAATAAAAATTTGAAACATCAGTATAGAATGAAACGTAATCGTACAAGTGAGATTGTAGATAAAAAGGTAAAAGACTATAATAATATTGAAAGTCACATTGACGAAGTAGTCGTTGATGGAGGTTATGTAAACGATACATAAAATATTCTATTTTATATATTTTTTTATTCATAAATTATTCTATTTTATTATAACGATTATTAAATAAAATATGGATAATGAAAGAATTCAGGATTTGATACTTAGCTTTAACTGCAATTTTTGCGCATAAATGTTTTTATTTAAGGAGGTTCAACCCATTAACATAACCTCAAACTAAAAAATTGTTTTTTACCAACTAATAAAACTATAAATAAAATTAATTTTTGTCAAATTTTGAAAGATTCAGTTGTACAATTTTCAAAATAAATTATTTTGCGCAAAAATAAAATATTTTTTGTTTAAAGTTAGTGAACAATTGTAATGTTTATGCAATTCTTACAAACAATAGGTCATTTTGCTCATTGAAAAATTTTCTACAATTCTTTTTGTTGAATTTTATTAAAAATATTTTGTTCAAAAGTTAATAAACAAATAAAATTTTTATATTTTTTAAACAAACCATTATTTAACAAAAACATAAAATTAGAATTGTAGAGAATCTTTTAAAGAGAAAAATGAGCCATTGTTCACTATAACTTTTAAGAAAAAATACAAAATGTTTTATTAATTATTATTCAACAACAAATTTTAACTCAAAATAATTTTTTTCCAAAATTGTACAATTAGATGTGTCGAATTTGGATGTAATAAATTTTAAATATATTTTTAGTTCTGTTAATAACTACTTTTTAGTTTGAGGTTATGTTAACGGGTTGAACCTTCTTAAAGTAAGCGATTATTATCTATCAATCCATATCCAAATGTACTGGTACTTTTTGACCCTCAGAGTATAATAAGAGATTGTATTTTACATATTTAAAAAAAAATTAATTAATGAAAAAATAAATTCAAAACATTCATGATAGTGTCTCCCCTTAAGAAGTCAATTTACACTCATTGAGTTTTGAAATAGTCCTTGATATAATCCATTCGTACCTTATTAATATTGTTTAAATATGTCCTACAAACATACTGGACTATCACTTTTTCTTAATTTAATTAGGTCATTATAATATTATTGCACGTTAATTCATCTTTTTTTTAAGGTTTCATTGGTAAAAATTGTTTCACAGATAACATACTTTCCTCTTTATCGTTAATATGGCAAAACTAGTTAACAACATTTCAAAAATGACTATTGATTGCGTCCTTTTTCTTTTTATAAAGAATCTTAAAATTTCAATCACTTTTTTTTTAAATTCCGTTTAGTAAGATATTACTGAGAAATACTATATCATAATTTGTAAAATTTTTTTTTTTAAAAAGTTGATGAAAACTATATATATTATTTAATAAAAATAATGAAATATAATTAACAATTAGAATATTATTCTTATAAATAATGTGAAATAATTTTTTCATCTTTTACAAATTTGAAACTTTGAGAATTAACAATATGATTACTTAATATTTATTTGATCACCAATTCCCATCCCCTTACCACGAGAAGTTTGCAGCAAATTTGAGACGAATATCAGCAATGAACATACAAAAAATTTTCTATGCAAAGTTGCAAAAATAGATGAAAATTATTAAAAATTTGTAAATAATAAAATTATGACATCGTAAAACAGAAATTATTCTTGATTCAAGGATATTTATTTAATTCTTGAATAATTTATTCTTGTCTAAAGAGTATTCAATTTATCGAATTCTTATAACAAAATAAATATTTAAAGAAAAATTATATTTGATTCGAAAATAATTTATAATATGTTCGGTAATAATAATATTTAATTAATAAATTTTAGATTAGATTAAGAATAAGTTTCTTTTACTATAATTTTTTTTTTTGCTAAGAAAAATTTCCATATCTTCACTTTTGCAAACTTCTCACTATCTACTACTATTTTCTAGTTTTTTTTTTTTTTTTTTGTACAAATTTCCGTGTTATATTAGGCTTTTTATATATTAGTCTTTTTGACAAAAAAACAAAGAAATAAAATATCTCAATATTGGAAGGATATTTCTTATATTCTTGTTATAAATAACCTAATAACTAGTGTCCTTAGAATTAGAAAATCGTTTGAAGTGAAAACCAAAATTCTTTTTTCATACGGAAGTCTCAGCCGCTGTGCTACCATTCACTTTATATGGACTTGTTTCTTTAGATCGAATTAAGTCAACCTAAGAGAAAATAATATTATAACTAACGTTTGCAAAAAAAATGGATTACTTCCTTATAATAGAAGGAGGCTTTTAATTATGATGACGATTAGGTGTTAATAAAATATTATTATGTATTCTATGCACTGAAAAAATTATATTCTAAAAAGAATATCTTTTTGGCGTCTATTTAAGAATATTTTCCATGCATTTTATTTTTAAAATTAAAAAATAATATTCTTAAAATAAAAAACAATTCTTAAATTAAGAAATATTCTAAATAGAAAAGAAAAAAATTCTTAAGGCCAGGTCCAAGTGAGGCTGCGCCATCTACATTGATACTAAAATTTTGGAAAATTTTCAACAGGCTTTTCTTGAAAACAAGATGGTAAAATGCTTTTTCCTTTATGGATAATTGATTATTGGCAAGATATATACCAGCTAAAACTTTTTTTGAGTTAAAATAATGAAAAAAATGTCATGTCGATAAATTAAATATGAGCACTTTTTTCACAAAAACTGTAACAGTACTTTCTCAGAAATTACAATCAAAAATGCAATTTCCATTTGGAAAATTAATAAACGCTAAAAAATACACGACCTAAGATTTACCAATCACGAAAATAACAAAAAAAAATTTTATTAAATATTTAACATATTGATACTGCTTTACTGATTGTGACAGCCCTTTGGTAGATTATGTATTTCAGGTGGTTAGCAACAGCGCCAATTTCCTCCTTTCGGCAAAACTGCGAAACGTCTGGTGACATATATAACCTGCCAAACGGCTGTCATAATGAGTAAAATATGTTATGTTAAAAAACTTTTTTTTTGTTATTTTCGTGATTGGTAAATCTTAGGTCGTGTATTTTTTAGCGTTTATTAATTTTCCAAATGGAAATTGCATTTTTGATTGTAATTTCTGAGAAAGTACTGTTACAGTTTTTGTGAAAAAAGTGCTCATATTTAATTTATTGACATGAAATTTTTTTTATTATTTTAATTCAAAAAAAGTTTTAGCTGGTGTATATCTTGCCAATAATCAATTATCCATAAAGGAAAAAGCATTTTACCTTCTTGTTTTCGAGAAAAGGCTGTTGAAAATTTTCCAAAATTTTAGTTTCAATGTAGATGGCGCTGCCTCACTTGGACCTGGCCTTGTTTCTTATTTTAATAATATTAAATTCTAACTTTAAGAATAAAATGCATGGGAAATATTCTTAATTAGGCGCCAAGAAGATATTCTTAAAATTAGAATATAATTTTTTCAGTGATACTGTTTTCTTCAAGTTTCATTTATTTTTTAATCTTCTATAAAATTCTTTGAAATTAATTTTTGTATCGTTAAAAACAATTTTTTAGTTTTGAGGTTATGTTGAAGCTACTAAAGCAGATGCCATTCTTTGTCCATAATTTATAGTCACGTGATTTACAATGTTGCCTTTTTTTGTCCTTTTCTAACGCACCCGTTGTCATGGCAACATGTGAATAAGACAAGGACAAAAAAGAGTAGGCATATCTGGCCACGAGTGTAAGTGATGCGCGCGCTGATTTCTCTCGTCACTGTTAGAGGTTTGTTAACTTGCAAATTCGTCACTGAGCGAGATTTGATTGTATTTACAAAAGTTTATTATTTTTTAAAAAAGATATTAATTTGTTTAAAAAAAGGAGAGGAGAAATTATCTGCGACAGTTGTGTTAATAACTATGAAATAATAAATGTTAAAAATTTGATAAGACAAACTGATTTTACTGAAAGTTGAAAAAATCGTCATCACTATAAAACCTGCTCTATTAGGAAACAAACAAAAAATACAATGCCTATTTCGAATGTTAGTTTCATAAATAAATAATGTCTATTTATTTATTTATTGTTAATGAATTATAGATGATTGATTGAACTTACCTTTAATGATGTTCAATCGTAATTTATTTTATGCCTCCTCTGACTAAATCAACGTATGTTTAGTCTAAATATAAAAAAACTGATCGTTTCACCACAATAATTTTTAAAATACTATATTCTATGAAAAATCGCAAATATTCATGATTGTAACAATATATTGATTATTATCGATCCAATAAATCTTAACCGAATTTCTGTTTTTAAAAAATGAATGAATCATTGTTAAAATAAATTCTACGATGGTCGATGTAATCTATTCTTGGTGAGGCGTATAACACAATTACGATCGAAAATCATTTAGGTTCGTTCGTTCGCGTTAAAATTTAATTGCATTTCGCCGCTTCGTTTATCTAGATCAACATATGATCTCTTTTTTCAATATTTTGTTTTTACAGCTTAACTGACTATTTATACTTTTTATTTTTCTTCTTTTGCCTACTTTTTTTGTCTATTGTCCGATGTTTTATCAAAAGGTACGGTGTTTATTTTAATATTACTTGCGATGTGGAACAGTGACATTCAGTAATAATTGGATCAAATCGTAAAATTTATGATTAGATATATAAAAAAGGGTTTCATTGAGTCAAACTAACATTTCGTCGATTGAGAAAGAACGTGTTGCAATTATTTGTTCTATATTATGATTATGAAGAGATACCGTGTATAGAGTTATTCATTTAGAAATTCAAACAGGAAACATTTATAATTTAAACGCTTCCTACAAAGTTGAATTATTATAATAGACGTTTCTTTTATTTGAAAAATTTTCACTACAACCAGACACTTGAATTCGTGTCAAGGTGACAATAATGCACAGCTTATCATTTTTTTTTCCTGTTTCGTGCACAGAGCAACGTATTTTTTTTTGACGTTCTTAAAATTACTGTGATGAAACGATCAGATCCACGTGACTTACATGTTGATCTAGAAAGACGAGCCGGCGAAATATTTCTTCTATTGCGTGTGATTCATTAAACGTGTGTTACCTTAATGGAAATTCCACAGTCCCCTACTACTTCTTTCTGCTTCATCTGCTTACTAATGCTGCATTCCCAAAAAATATACTATTTAAAAATTGTTAGCTACTTCATTATTATTATTATAAATAAACATAAATTGCTTTTTCAAAAATTAAGGACCAGAAAGAAAAGTCAAAATTTTTACAAGGTAATTGTGAATATAATTTTTTGATATAGACGCTGTTTTCACTGTTTGGGTTAAAATTTAACTTCGTGCAGATTAAAGGAACAGGCTAAATTTGCGTCTGCGCAAAACATTCGTGTACACTCGTGGCCAGATATGCTCACACTTTTTTGTCCTTTTCTAATTCACATGTTGTCATGGCAACACGTGCGTTATAAAAGGACAAAAATGTTTAGGCATATTTGGCCACGCGTGTACACGAATGTTCTGCGCAGACGCAAATTTAGCCTGTTCCTTTAATATGCGCGGAGTTAAATTTTAATCGAAAATTTTAATCTACTCAATCACCAATCAAATAACAACTATAAATATTGCCACTAACTAAACATATATATGCTGCTAGATCTGGCCAATTGCATAGCAAAAAGCCATAAATAAAAGAAGAAGAAAATTTTAATCTGAAGCCAGATTTGCTCCACTACGTCAGGATTTTTTTCTAACCTCAAAAATATGTCAAATTGAAGACTTGTCATGATTGCGAAAAATTTTCGATTCTCAAAATTCAAAATGTCAGAACCAATGTAGCAGTTGTTTTTTTTAAATTATTACATAGCACGACTTCTTGCTGTGAGGTTACTGTAAGGATATCTGTAGGGTTTGTAAAGTTACTGTGTAAGCCTACAGTAAACTTCAGGTCATCTTAAAACTTCCGCCATTACAGTAAGCTTACACAGTAAGGTTGTGGTAAGCTTACACGGTAAGGTTGTTGTAAGCTTCCCGTAAGGTTACTGTAAGGTCACTGTAAACATAGAATGTTATTAATAAATAAATTTTATTAATATTTATGCGCAATAGTTTTCTATGGCACATACGGCTGCGCAGTAAATTTTTTTTAACAAACACTATTGGGGTTCATGAAGTACTTTACCAAATATATAATTTTTTATAAAAAAAATTTATAATATAGTATATATTATAATATAATTATTTTTAATATATTTTCTTATTACTCTATGTTTACAGTAACCTTACAGCAACCTTACAGTAACCTTACGGGAAGCTTACAACAACCTTACCGTGTAAGCTTACCACAACGTTACCATGTAAACTTACCACGATCTTACTGTGTAAGCTTACCTTAGCTTTACTGTGTAAGCTTACTATAATGGCGGAAGTTTTAAGATGACCTCAAGTTTACTGTAGGCTTACACGGTAACCTTACAAACCCTACAGTTATTCTTACAGTAACCTCACAGCAAGAAATCGTGCTATGTGGCTATTAATCTTTGGGGTCGCTGTTTACGAACCTGAAGTAAAATTTTTTAACTCCAACTTCAGATTCGTAATTATAGCAATCCCAAAGATTGATGGAAACCAAGTTTCATAAAAATGTAATAATTTAAAAAAAAACTTCTATATTGGTTCTGATATTTTGAATTTTGAAAATCTAACTTGAGATTCGTAATCAGAGAACCGAAAAAAACCCCATGATATCAAGTTCAAAAGAATTTCATTACACCTCTTCAATTTGACATATTTTTGAGGTTAGAAAGAAATCCCAACGTAGTGGAGCAAATCTCGCTTCAGATTTGTTTTCAACGCATTAAAATACATCAGAAAATCATATTCACATTTGCCTTGTAAAAATTTCAATTTTTTTTTGTGATCCTGTTTTATTAATATTATAAAATCAATAAAAGTTTGTTTTGTCTGAATTAATCGTACTTCGGGTTTTTTTTTCTCAATTCTGCGATAAATTAAGGTTATGTGATTGTTGTGATTTCACATGTAAATATTCTCCTCATATGGTTTTCTCGCAAAATATTTGATAGATTGAGCTAAAATTTTCTGAAAAACTCAAAAATAGTACAAAGACTCATACCAGAGTAAATGTATCAAAAAATGTATTTTTAAAAATTGCATATTTGTGAAAACAATACGATTTTAGTCATTTCCACAAGCATGCAATTTTTTAAGAATAAATTTTTGAAAAATATATTAATGTACTCTGACGGATAAATGAATACTATTTTTTGAATTATTCACAAAAAAAATTTTAGCTAAATCTATTCAAGTGTTTTGCGTAAAAAAATAGCGGCGAATATTTACAATGTGAAATTACAACAATGACCATAAACGATTATTCAAACAACGAAAAACATACTTTATAATTTTTGGTTGCTTCACGTTAATTTGTTGCCAGATTCCACTCTTGTTATCTCCCGATGAATCGAAGTCGAGATTTTCATTCAGATCCTATAAGCAATTAACGAGAGAAAAAAATGAAATTAATTTTATCAAAATAAGAAAAAGCTATTAATAAAAAGGCCATGCATTGTTTATATTTAGGAATAAGGAAATTATTTTTTCCATATAACGAAGCACAATAAAACAAAAGCTGATATACAAGGCGTGAAAGCCAGCATGGCTAAACTGTTTTTTTTTTTTTTTTTTTTTCCATTTCAATACCTTTAATAACTTGATATAGTTATATTTATTCCAAGACTCCAACATCTCGAGTTTATATCCAATTATTGGTGATTTTATTCAAATAAGCGAGTGTTCAAAAGCTTATATAGAAGAATAATACACCGAGACGAAAGGAAAGGTGCTTAAATGATAATATTTTGAAGGAAGTAACATGAAAAAAATATTGTTAGTGGCATAATAGTGTATTTACATGTTGGCAGGTTGTGTCGTGTACTATATATATATATAACACATTGATATGCAATCTACTAACCAATCGCAGTTTTGACAAGTGTTTCGTACACAAATTGACAAAATTTTAACTTTGCAAAAAACTTGCTAATAAAATTTTCAAAAAGTACAAGAGTATAAAAGGAGTGTTTGCGTTTTTTTTTCTCTCTTTTTTTTAAGAAGAAGACACCTTTCAGCCTTTGTCATAAAATGTTTCCGAACTTGTACAATTTGACTATATATATTTCTCATTAGTATTCCGATTAAGATTTATTAATAACAAAATTACAAAATAGTGTTTTCAAAAAATCAATCGAAATATTTATGAGAAAATATGAATTACAATTAATATAGCGCCGTTTTTTTTTTATTTTCAATTACAAATATCTACTTTCACCTGATTTACATTGAAATCGACAATATTTATAATTATTCTAATACTGATTATTGTTATGTATACTTTTGTTTTTATCGAGTCAAGTATACATAATTTATCTAAGCCTTAAGTTATTCCCTAACACGTTTTATTTAACAATCTATAATAAGGACTTGTAAAATATTGAGGCTTCGTTCGATAATAATCGACGTTATTCATTAGAAAAAAAAAAAATTTCTTGACCAAATTCATTTCATATCATCCGGACTGGACTCGGTCGAGACTAAAATTCAATTTCGCAAATATTGTTTTTCGAAATTTTTTTTTTTTTTTTAGAAAGATATAAATAATTTTGCATTTGAAAAAGTTTCCATTTTTCTTTCAAAATCTGTTGAGAAAATTAAAAAATGTTCAAAAATAACAAAATGGCGGTCATTTTTATAAAAAAAAAAAACTTTAAATTGAAATTACTAAAAAATTCCAATTTTTTTTTGTAGATTGTAGATTGTATTCAAAAATACGACTTTTTCGACTTATTTTAATATTTTTAACATTTTTTTAAAACATTTTTAAACAAAATACGTTTTTTTAGTATACAATGCAGATAATTTTAATGAAATTCTTCACAAATTAAATTACACTATTTTTTAATTAAAATTTTAATGAAATTTAATAATTGTTTATAATTTAAAAAAAAAAATAACAAATATAATTACCAAAAAATTTTAATTCAAAATCACTAGAAATTTAATTATTTGCAAACATTTTAATTATTTTTAATGATTTATATTCTTCGAAAATTCAATTATTTGAAAGCATTTTTCAATTAAAAACTTTTGAAATTTAATTTTTGTATGTGATTTTTAATAAATTCTTCATCAACAGAAATCACTAGAAATTTCTCTTATTATAATTATTGTCTGAAATTTAAAACAAACTTTTGAAATTCAATTACTTTTAAAAATTTTTAATTAAAAGCTTTCAAAATTTTATTATTTATAAATTTTTCCATATAAAATTTTTTGAAATTTAATAATTTCAATTATAACTCTTCTGAAATTCAATTATTTTTAATGATTTTTATAATATTCGGTGGAAATTCAACTATCTGATACCGTTGTTTACTTAAAAAGTTTTCAAATTAATATATTTTTGTCCGTAATTTCTAATAATTTTTTAATGAAATCATCAAAAATTTTAAATTAAAAATCACTTGAAGTTCAATTAATTTCAAAAATCTAAATTTTAAATCTTTGAAAATTCAATTACTTTTAAAAAATGTTATCTAAAGTTATTTGAAAAATTATTTTTAGTTCTGTAAAATTTAATTATTGTCTGAAAATTAACAAAATCTTTCGAAATTTAATTATTTCTAAAAATTTCAATTTTAACTCTTCTAAAATTATTATTAAAAAAAATTTTTAATATAAAAATCTGTAAAACTTGATTAAGTATTGCCTGAAATTTTTTTCACCATCAAAACTAAAAACTGTGCCAAAATTTTTAATTCGGATAAATTGCTTAAATCAGACTTGAAAAAATTATAAAAATGGAACTTTAAGAATTTTTTTTTAGAAATTTGTCCTACTTAAATAAAATTTTGAAAATTTGTCTTACAATTAGTTCAATTCTGAAATATTCAAAATAAATTTTCTCGATAATATTTTTATATAATTATTCTCATTACAAAATTAATAAAATGAATTTAATATCTAATAATACATTAGTTCTTAAAGTAAAATATTAATTAACCAATTAAATTTTGTTAAAATAAAAAAAATCAACTTTCTCGCCTTTTTTTGGAATAGAAATCGATTAAAACGACTTTTTTAATGCCTTAAATTCGATCGGAGCCTTGTATAAGAATTTAACGTGTGCCCGATTCTGGTAGAAAAAAACAAATTTTTTTGTTAAAATTTGCATGTTTCTCAAAAAGTACACTAGTTATAAAAAAATTTTCCTTAATAAAAGTTGTTTCACTTTAAAAGATGTGGAAAAATATCTGTTGTCATTTTGTGTTTTTACGGAGGTTTTTGCTGATAGGGAGGTTAAAATTTATAGTCTTCTGCGGATTTAATTAATTAATATCAAGTATAAATAACAAAAAATTAAAATATTAGGTATATAATATTTTAATTGCTTGCTATTTATACTTGATATTAATTAATATTAATAATAACTAATTAAATCCGCAGAATATAAACGGAACAACTTTTATTAAGGAAATTGTTTTATAACCAGTGTACTTTTTGAGAAAACTAGAAATTTTAACAAAAAATTTTTTTTCTCTTTTACCAAAATCGGACACAAGTTAAATTCTTATGGAAAATATTCTTCAAGGTGAAGATAATCCACAAAAAAAAGTGGGGTTTTTGAGTAATTTCAATTTAAATCTTTTTCTATAAAAATGACCGCCATTTTGTTATTTTTGAACATTTTTTTTCATTTCCCCAACGGATTTTGAAAGAAAAATAAAAGCTCTTTCAAATGAAAAAAGAAAAAATGATAACACTTTAACTTTAACTTTATAACACTTTAAAGTTTTTTTCCCCTAAATTTTAGATAAACGACGTTTCAGACTTAGAAAATAAAAATCCTTATATTTTTCTTTAAAAAAATTTGTCGGCTAAACAAAAAAAATAGGTGTCTAAAATTCTTCGGAAAACAATATTTTTGAGATCGAAATCGAATTTTACTCTCGATCGAGTCAAGTCTGCCTGATTTGAAATGAATTTGATCTCATTGGAAATCTATTTTTACTGTTGTCTTATTATGTGTAATAACTTAAATTGATAGATCAGGCATTCCCTTCATACAGAGTGGTTTTATCGCAGAGGGCTATTGTGACCACAGGACAAGGTACCCTGTGATCACTTTCTGAATGCTATTTACGACATGATATTGCCCTTAATATTTTAATTGCCGTGCTAACCTCTCCACTTTCCAGGTGGCAGAGATCGTCCTCGTGTTGTTTTTTCGAATTCTCAGGCATAATGTCATCCAATATTTTCAACTCACGTTGAGTAAACATTATATCCAATGCTTTTCTTATTCCAATCATCACTACAAGCTAATCAAAAAACAAATAATAATTTAAAGAAAACATAAGCAATAAAATCTTTGATTTACATAATTTCATTTTTGATAATTCATTTTACTTACCATTAATGGAAACAGAATTGATGTACTGTGAAATGATTTAACTAACCATAGACATATAAGGCATGTCAGTTGAATAAATGTAAACATGTGTACTCTTTTCAATGGAACCTGAAAAATATTATTATGTTTAAAATTTCAGCTAAACATAGACATATTTTCAAAAAAAAAAAAATGTATTATTTATATTTTATTTTTATATTGATAAGAAAAGATCAAAGTCAGAATTATAATTTAAAAAAAAAAATGCTTTAAAGTATTTAAGAGAAGGATACACCCACATTTTCTACTATATCAAGAAATCATTTTAAAAATTCAACAAAACTATTTTTATAATAAAATACATAGAATGAAATTTTCCTCCCGAGTTGCACATACTATTTTTTCTAACACACGTATACCGAAAGTACAAACGTGGTAGTGTGGATACTATTGATGATGGTATGGTTGTTACTGGTAGCAGTATAGTTACTACTGGTGGTGTACCAGACGTTTGAGATTCACTATTGCTCATACTTTGATTAATATTTAATACCTAATAATAACATCACCGGGAGGGAATGTAACTTTCCCTCCCGTTAGTCGGAAAAGACATACTTTTCTCCCGCTACACAGGTAAGAAATGGTGTACTTTCGGTGCGTGTGTTAGAAAAAAATATTTTTTAACCGTTTTAAATTTCTGTTCTATTTTTTTAATACCCAAATGATGCAAAAAAATGCAACCTTTTTAGATATTTTTTTAAATAGATCAAAGTTGAGGGTGGTGCCTTCCCTTAATTCCTCGTAAAAAAATACTATAAAAATATAATTTTTTTGAATTTTGAAAAGAATTTTCTGATCTGTTGCTATTTTGATATTTTCTTTTTTTTATAAGAATTAATTTTCTATATTTTTACCTGTCGAAGAAACATGTAGTCCGGCTGATATTTAACAGGCATGAAAATAATGAGTATTCTGTCGAAAAATTGAAGACCTTTCAGTGACGAAACACCCATATAGAGAAAAACTCCAAATAATACTGGCATTGGAATTTTCCTTAACAGTGGAGTTAAAAGAACAGAAAGGCCAATCATTAAAAATATTAAGATGTGAGTAACCCTTTGCTCTCTAACACCTAAGAATTGTGGCTTCTCCCCTGGCGCTGCACATTCTGATTCCAATTTTAATGAATTAACATGATTAATCGAAAGAACAGTTGCTGCAACGAACCACGGCAAACCCATCACTGTGCATATTTGAATTAAAATCGCCAGTATAAAGAGATCCAAATGATAACCACAACCTTTCTGATGAATAATTAAAAAATATACACAATTAGATATAACATTAACAAAAAAATTATATTGGGCAATCCATTATATTTCATCTAAAATTGCGGCCTACACCCAGAAAAATGGTATATTTGTTTTAGAGCATAATAAATATTTATTTGATTTAAATAAAAAATTTTATTTGATTTAAATAAAAAATTTTATTTACGCCAAATAAATAGGCTAGTAGGCTGTGAGACAAATATACGTTTATTTAACTCAAATATATTTGGTTCAAATAACAGATTTTTCTGGGTGTATTGTTTAGAAAAATTTTATAATTCGTTGTAATCATTTTTTATATCCCTACAAATCATTTTTGACAATTATTTAATAAAATTAATATTAATTTACAACTAGCAAAATTAAACGCGCGCAAGCGCGCCAAATTGAGTATTTAATTGTTTGTTATAAACAAATTAAAGTTTAATATTATCAATAATAATTTAATTTATTAGAATATTATTACATATTAAATAATAATAATGAAAATTATATGTTTACAGGCCTCGGATTATACGACTTTTATCGACTTATATTAATAAAATTCGACTTTTTTTTTACATTTGAAAAAAATGTAAATAAAATACATTTTTTTAGTATAAAATTTATAAATCTTCTTCAGATCTTCTTCAATTCAATTATTTAACAAATTTTGAACTAAAATGATTCTTCACTAAATTAATTATTTTTAATAATTTTAATGAAATACATCACAAATTCAATTATATCAAAATTATTTTTCAATTAAAATTTTTATGAAATTTAACAATTGTTTATAATTTAAAAAAAAATATCACAATAAAATTGAATTATTTTTTAAAAATTTCAATTCAAAATAAACTAAAATTCAATTATTACCCGAAATTTTAATTCAAAATCAATTAAAAATCCAATAATTATCCAAAATTTTCAATTTATAATTTAATTATTTACCAAGTTTTCAATTTAAAATGAATTAAAATTCAATTATTCTCAAAAATTTGAATTCAAAATTAATTGAATTTTCAATAATTTGAATTTAAAAGCGTCTAAAATTTAATTATTTCTAAAAATTTTCCATCGAAAATTTTTTTTTTTGAAATTTAATAATTTCAATTATAACTCTAAAGAAATTCAATTATTTTTAACTATTTTAATAATATTCTTTGAAAATTCAACTATCTGAAACCATTTTTCAATTAAAAATGATTTTCAAATTATTGTATTTTGTCCCCATTTTCTAATAAATTTTTAGTGAAATCATCTAAAATTTTAATTACAAAACACTTAAAGTTTCAATTAATTTCAAAAATCTCAATTTAAAATTTTTGAAAATTCAATTAAATTTAAAAAATGTTTTCCAAAAATTGTTTGATAAATTATTTTTAGTTCTGTAAAATTTAATAATTGTTTGAAAATTAACAATGTCTTTTGAAATTTAATTATTTCTGAAAATTTCAACTTTAACCCTTCGAAAAGGATAATAATAAAAAAAAAATTTTATTTAAAAATCTGTAAAATATTTTTGTTAAAATAAAAAACAAATCCACTTTTTTTTGGAATATAAATCGACTAAAACGACTTTTTGTGTCTTTAAGTTGATTCGAGGCCTGTGTTTTTATAATTAATATTTAATAGGTATTCGTTGGCCCCTGTTACCTTAAAAATTAATTTTTAAAAATAAATTTTTTTCAAATTACTATCTTGTACGAAATTTCCAGGCGCATCTTTTTTCTCATCATAAATTTTTTGTATTTGTATACAATTTTTGAATCAATATACAACTTTAAAAAAATTTCGTTTGTAAACGTTATGTACTTCAGCTTCGTGAATTGAATTTTCGAATTTGGAATTTTAAAGAAACTTATTCCGAAATTTGGAAACACTATTATACAACTTTGGCAAAAATGAGAAAAAGAATCGTCAAAATTTGACACGTCATAAGATTACTATTCAAAAAAACACGTGAAATCAGAAAAGGCCAACTTCAAGTTAGGACAGAAGGACAGACCAAGCATTTTATTATTATATAATTGTCAAATTAATATTTTTTCCATGCGACTCATTTATTTTTTAAAATTCATATTTCAAGGTAAATATATAAAATTTATTAAATAAGTGCCAAAAACGAATTGTATACGGATATAAAAAAATGATTATTTCGAATTATAAAAGAATTTCTAAAAAAAAAATAGGTCGCAACGAGTTTAGATGAAATGCAATGGATTGACTCACATTATTTATGAATGACATGTATCTTTACCTTGAGTTTATTCTCTTTTCTGTTAACAATTACTGCTGTAATTTGTTGATCCATGAAAATTAAAATTGTACCTAACATGGCTGGAAGACCTGCAATAAGTGCACTCCACCATGGATTGTCTTGGAAAGGCCATATTATCCAGCCTCTACCATGTAATGTTGGTTTAAACTCATTAGGAACTTCCAATTTGGGTGTACTAATGCCTACATAGTAATCTAAAGCCGACATTGAAAAAATTGCAATGATAACGGCAAAATCGCTTACAATTTGTCTTACCTGAAACATAAATTTTCTATTATGTGCGTTGCATGACCTTAAGGAGAATTGTTTTAAATTATCTAATTAGATATTTTTTAATTGCACACGCAGAAAAAAATAGATTCTGTTAATTAAACAATTGAGTAATTTTATTTCGACTTCTACTTTGACTTTAACTTTAAACACTTTTATTTTCATTTTGAATCTTTTTTAGATTAAGTTTTATAAATAAAATAACAAAGATATTTAAAAAAACGAAATAATAAATAAAAGATAATTAACGAAAAGAAATAAATCAATTATTTTAATACTTGAAAAATTCAATTTAAATTATGAGTTTTTGTTAATTTTTTAACAATAATAATTGCTTCTAATATTCACTTTGTTGTCAATTTGTAAAAAAAAAAGTAAATAAGTTGTATTAAAAGAAAGATTTTTTCTTCTTGGGTAACCAAATTAAATTTTTTACTTAATCACTATTGACAGTATTTATTCAAAAAAGTTTGGGGAATATTCACAAATTATTGAAGAAAATATATTCATTACAATTTTTGGATATTTTCACCAACTTTTTAAATAATCTTCGTAAATTTTGGTACGCATGATTATGTTCTAAAAATCATTAGTCAGAATTTTCATTTTGTGGAATTTCATTTGTTAGAATTATTTTTGAGCCGAGTTTTTATTTTTTCGAATATAATTTATATTTATATTTATAATTTCGTTATAATTTCCATATAACCGATTTTTCATAATACCGAATTTTTACTTAACCGTAATATCATTTAAGAGAATTTTCTAATTCATAGAATTTTCATTTGGCCGAACAAACAATCGACAGAAAGATTTCAGCGCGATTTTTAAAATCAACCAATCAAAAATTATCCATAAAATTGTGATTGGTTGATTTTAAAAATCGCACTAAAATCTTTCTGACGATTGTTCGTTATCGGCCATTTGCAGTTTTGGACAAATGGAAATTTTATCAATTAGAAATTCTGTTAAATGATTTTTCGGTTAAGTAAAAATTTTGTAGTTTGAAAAATTGGTTATATGGAAATTACATCAAATAATAATTCGAACAAATGAAAATTCGTCTGAAAGAAAATTCTATGCAATAAAATTCTAACCAATAAAAATTCTTTAAAATGCCTATTATGTTAAATGAAAATGCGAGTAAATAAAAATTCGAACAAATAAAAATTCTGTGAAGTGAATTTTCGATTATATAAAAATTCTGTAATATAGAAAATCGTGTTGATGAAAATTCTGCAAAATTTTAATTCGAACAAATAAAAATTTGGCTCAAAAATAATTATGGCAAATTAAATTCCATAAAATAAAAATTCTAAGTAATTATTTTTATATCATAATCATGCGTCCCTAAATTTTCTTGAGAAAAGAATTTGCCACAAAAAATATAGAATTTCAATTTTCCTCAAATTTAACTTTCTATTAAAACAAACTGAAAAATTTTTGTTTGTATGTGAAGAGTATTTAAAAGAAAAAACTTACTTTAGATGGAAAAAATAGAGCATTTTTAAAATCCTTGAGCTCAACGGACATCAAAAATGTCCCCACGAAGAGGATAATTGACATAAGGAACACATCGGGTACATAATTGCAGTGATCACCGATCATTGTACCATTGTTGTTCTAAAAAATATAATTAAACACCTTTTATAATATTCAAAAAAAAAAATTCAAAACTAAATAACTAATTATTAAAATAATTAATAACTAATTCTATTAACTAATTCTATTTAACATGTTTCTCATTTCTTTTAAAATTTTTGCATGATATATTTTTCTACAAACTACCTTGCAAGCAATTTTATCCATTGATGTCCAGTTTATATTGTCATAACTAGATGGAAAGTAATTATCTGACGGTTTGCATGAACAATTATAGTTGAGTCCATCGCTACCGTGCGTATTTATTGGATAATTTTTATTTATCGATAGTACATTTTCAACCGCCTAATGGGATATAAAATATAAATAATAAAATGGTTTTTTTAATAAAAAATAATTATATATATTCAATTAATTTATTAAATTAAAAATAGATTTATAATATTAATCGAAATACTCACTTTAAAGATAAAAATAAAAGCTATCAATGTAGCAAAATTTTCTTCGGTAAATCGCGTAATATAACACACAAAAGCGCTGGCATCGAGTGCAACAAGAATAACTAAAATTACACTAATCCACGTGCCAATCCAAAATCGAAATGACATGTAATTCCAAGCATACTCTCTAGAAATTAATAAATGAGAAATTTCATTGAAAGATTTAATTTAAAAAATTGAGACGCATAAAGTTAATTTTTTAGAATTGTGTTTTAATAGAATTTTATTATGTATAGAATTTTTATTTTTTGTTGTATAGTAATTTAAAAGAATCTTAATTTTGCAGAAAAATAATTTTACAGAATTTTAATTTTACATAATATTCATTTGTTCGAATTTTTATTTAGACGAAAATTAATTAGCCATTCGGCGTGAAATTAAAATTTGACCAATCTAAAATTATCACAAAAATTGGGATTGGTCAATTTTAAACTTAACCTCAAAATAGTTGAGTCAAATTGATTTTCTGCCTAATGAAAATTCGAAAAAATGAATATTCTGTAAAATTATTTTTGTGCAAAATTAGGATTCTTTTAAATTACTATTCTGCATTAAGGGTATATGGGAACCTCCCACGTGACCTAGTATGGGAAAATGTGTTTTGGTAGTATACATTTCACTCTAAAATGAAAAAAGATTTTTGTCTAAAATTTTGAGGGATGATAGATTAGGGTACAAGGAATCTCGCTGTTATCCGAAAAGAAAAAAAAATACATATTTTTGCGTTAAATTAAATTTAAATTTGCGCCAATTCGAGCAAGTGGCCGCTGAATGAACTATGATATAATACATTATTTTACTATTTATTGCTTTATTTTTATTATTTTTGCGTTAAGTTATGGTAAATGAGTAGAACCTAGCGAGATTCCTTGTACCAAACAAAATCATTTCTCCAAAATTTTAATCCGAAATCATTTTTTGAGAAAGTTTCAAACCACAAAAAATCGTCCTTTGCCAACATACCCTTAAGAATATTCTACAGAATAAAATTCTATTAAAACATAATTCTAAAAAATTAACTTGAGTACTTATTCATGCGTCTCAAAAAAATGTTTATTGACATTTTATTGTTATATTCATAAACCTACTTGCAAAATTTGAAGACAATTTGTTCGAATACCAAAACTGGTCCAGTTGAACCCAAAATTGTTAGAGGTTGACCAGAAAAAAAACCATAACCAATGCCACATACAAAGCCGGCTACAAGAGATTCCATAGCAGCCATGTGTTTATCAGTAGCTTCACTTAGAAGACCACCAAATGTGATTATAGGTGCTAGACATGCGAAATAGAGAAATATGAATGATGCAACACATTGTAGTGCCAATGCGTCTTTGAAGTCAGAAAAGTAAAAAGGAGTTTTCCTCTTAACATCATTAATTAATCCTCCAAATAGTCTACCAGTTCTTGATAAACCCGATTCTTCTCTTAGCTTTTGTTCGTCAGCCTCCTCGTTAACTTCTTCCTTTGGCTTTTCTTCCTTGGGTCTTTTTCTTGTATCCTATGTGTGATAACTGTTTTATAACGTGAAGCTGAATGATAATTGCATGCAAACACAGTACATTTATAAATATATGTCAATTATGTCTGAATGGGACGCATGATTATCCCATAAAAATCATTAATTAGAATTTTTAAGACGCCGAATTTTCATTTGTCCGAAATTACAAATGGCCGAATAACAAACAATCGCGTCGAATTTTTCTGTTGATTGTTTGTTCGGCCATTTGTAAGTTCGAACAAATGAAAATTCAAACTAATGTTATTTATTTGTTTATTTATTTATTTATTTATATACAAATCTCCGCGGTCCAATAAGGACCATAAAAGGATAACAAAAAATAGCGAGAAATATAGAAAAAATTTCAATAAAACATAAAGAGATATTAAATTAGATATTAATTAGATAATTAATAATTAGATAATTAGATATTAAAATCATTTTATTAATTCTGTAATGATAATAATTCTATATAAGAACATTATACAGAATTATTAGAAATAATTGAATTTCAAAAGATTTTGTTAATTTTCAGAGAATAATTAAATTTTACAGAAATTTTACATAGTTAAATTTTCGAAAAATTTAATTTAAATTTTAATTTATTACCACTGAAGATTTGGAAAATAATTTAATTTTTAGGATTTCTTTTGAAAATTTGGAAACTAATTGAATTTTAGTTGATTTTGGATTGAAAATTTGGAAAATAATTGAATTTTAGTTAATTTTAAATAGAAATTTTTGAAAATAATTTAATTTTAATTAATTCAGAATTTAAAATTTTTTAAATAATTTAATTTTAGTTGTTTTTGAATTGAAATTTTGGAAAATAATTGAATTTCAGTTCATTTTAAATATAAAATTTTCAAAATAATTGAATTTTAATTGAAAATTTTTCAAATAAATGAATTTCAATTGAAATTTTTGAAAATAATTTAATTTTTGTTGATTTTGAATTGAAAATTTTGAAAATAATTTAATTTTAATTAATTCAGAATTTAAAATTTTTTAAATAATTTAATTTTAGTTGTTTTTGAATTGAAAATTTGCAAAATAATTGAATTTCAGTTAATTTTAAATAGAAAATTTTGAAAATAATTGAATTTTAATTGAAAATTTTTAAAATAAATGAATTTGAATTGAAATTTTTGAAAATAATTTAATTTTTGTTGATTTTGAATTGAAAATTTTGAAAATAATTTAATTTTAGTTAATTTTAAATAGAAATTTTTGAAAATAATTTAATTTTAATTAATTCAGAATTTAAAATTTTTTAAATAATTGAATTTTAATTAATTTGGAATTTAAAAATTTTTAAATACTTTAATTTTAATCGAAATTTTGCAAAATAATTGAATTTCAGTTAATTTTAAATAGAAAATTTTGAAAATAATTGAATTTTAATTGAAAATTTTTAAAATAAATGTATTTCAATTGAAATTTTTGAAAATAATTTAATTTTTGTTGATTTTGAATTGAAAATTTTGAAAATAATTTAATTTCCCGTGTGGAAAAGTGATGTGGGCCCCCAGCGGGGGCCCTTATGGATCGCCCTCATGCCATGAGGGGCGCATATGGATGATCCATAGGGGCCCCTCATGGAAACGACATGCTCATCGATGAGGGCGCCCGCATGGGCGATCCATGAGGGTGCCCCTACGGGCGCCCTTATGGGCCCTCACGTTTGCCCTCATCTTGCCCTCAAGTTTGCCATAATGTTTTTTAATCAATAATATTAATAATAAAAGTTAATTAATAATAAATAAGCTTAAGTTATGAATAAATAACATATTTATTTAATAATTATTCAATTTTAAATTAAATTCTTACTCAAATTGAATTTATTAATTAACGTTCTAATTAATTAACTGTCGGATATAATTAAAAGTAATAATAAATTAATTAATTAAAAAATTAAAAAATATGTAATTTATGCATACTATTAACGGATATTTTCATTTTTCAATTAATTCATACATAGAATTAATGATTAAACGCAAACCTGAGAAATAAATAAATCTAACGCATGGGGGGAATCGAACCTACGACCTACGGACTATGAGTCTAACGCTTTACCAACTACGCTACGCACGCTACTTCAAAACGAATGCTAACTTCTTGATGCTATTTAAACTTCAAAAATACCTAACAAAAGAAAAGTGCTTAACATCATTTAGTTAAAGTTAAGATATTAAATTATATTTTCCAATCAAATCCAATTTATAAAATATAATTAATTATATGCTTTATGATTATTATCATGAATCATCTCAGGTGAATTTTCAAAAAAAGTGTAAATATATTTTTATTAAAAACGCGTTTTTCGTTGTTTTGAATCATTGGAAACATTCATTTTTTGTTGATAAAAAAATATTTGATTTTTGGACTTAGAAAATTTTGCTAATCGATCATGAGGGCGATCCATGCGGGGCCCCTCATGGATTCGCCATATGGATCAGCCCTCATGGGCCCCCGCCGGGGGCCCCGAACTCTTGAGGGCAAGATCGTGGCGTTTTCCACACGGGTTTAGTTAATTTTAAATAGAAAACTTTGAAAATAATTGATTTTTGAATATTTAAATTTCAAGTGATTTTGAATTAAAAATTTTCGGTAATTTTATTTGATAATTTTTTATTTGAAATTATAAACAATTATTAAATTTCATAAAAATTCGAATTAAAAAATAGTTTAAGATAATTGAATATGTGAAGAATTTCATGAAAATTATTAAAAATAATTAATTTAGTGAAGAATTTTAGTTAAAAATTTGTTAAATAATTGAAATAAAGAAGATGTGAAGAAGATCTGCATTGTATACTAAAAAACGTATTTTGTTTAAATTTTTTTTTAAAAAATGTAAAAAAAGTCGAAAAATTTTTATCAATTATTAATTTGTACAAATAAAAATTGTAATTAATGATTTTTATGTGAAATTGATGCGTTCCGTCTGTATCAATAATTTGAAGCATAGATAGACAGGTTTATAGTATGAGAATTTCAGACTTACTAAATCAATTTAAACGAAAGAAATTGACATCGTACATTTATAAAATAGAAGGAAAAATAATTGGCAAAATGATCTTCTTACCGGAATTGCAGCAGGTGGCTCTATTCGAATAGTTGGATCCCATTCGCCTGGAGGTAAAACGGTAACAGCATCCAAAAATTCATCTACTCCTGCTAATAAATGATTTCTATTTTTTGCCTTATAAGCAACGTCGTGGAAAACTTCATCTGACATTAGAGTTGCCATTGCCCTTCCTATCTCATGAAAATTAGATATACCTCCCTGAAGAAAATAAAAAAAATTTCTTTCAAATCAAATTTTAATGCTTCAACAATAATATAAAAGTGAATATCATATATGAACGGATTCATAACAAATCATGCAGACATGATTTTTTTCATCAAAAAATAATTTCGAAAAATGTATAAATTCTTGCTAATGAAATTTTGTCATATGAAAATTCATAACAAATTAATTTTAGAACTTATTCTCGTATGATTGTATAATTCTCACCGTTGGTCCAAGAAGAACAAAAATGAATCTTGTTGGAACAGGAACTTCGGTTAAATCACCCAATATGAAAGCTTGACTAAGTCTTATAAAAGCAGACAACGTCTTGTCCAAAAAATCAACTTCTCCCACTAGAATATTACTAGCCTCGGCTCCTGGTGGTATTTTACGCATAAAATGAGTATTACCCTAAAATTGTGAAAAAAAATAATAATCACTTGCCAAATTGCAAAATCTCAAAGAAAAATTTTAAAAGAAAAGACAATACCTTTCCATTTTCTAATCCAGAGGAACTATGATTCCTGCTAATGGAGATACTGCTAGGGCTTCTATCCATTCCATTATTGCTTGGCTCTTGACCTGAAATATTTCTAGCTTATTGCCTACTGCTTTAGATTTTATATTTAAAAAAAAACAACCCCTTTGTAAGCTACAATTAATTTCATGCAATGAAGATAATAATTAATCAATATGTATATAAATTCTTGACAAGCAAAGCATTAAGAATTGGAGAATATTTTCTGTCGCATAGCACCACACATGCCCATAACATAATTTCCACAAACCAATAATTCAGTGTCATATATAAATAAAATATCAAATACTACTAATTGATATATTTTATCAGTAAGTAAAAAATTTTCTAATTGAAAATAAAATTTATTTTGTAATTCTATTTTTAATGAAATAAAGAGGCGCATGATTTTTCCCAAAAAATTAAAAAGGTCGAAAATTTAATTGATCGAATTACATTAAGTCGATATTTTATTTGAACGAAATTCTAAATGATCAATATTTAAAATGGTCAACATTTTATTTGGTCGATATTTTATTTGATTGAAAATCTAAATGATCGATATTTAAAGTGGCCGATATTTTATAAGGCCAGGTCCAAGTGAGGCAGCGCCATCTACATTGATACTAAAATTTTGGAAAATTTTCAACAGCCTTTTCTTGAAAACAAGAAGGTAAAATGCTTTTTCCTTTATGGATAATTGATTATTGGCAAGATATACACCAGCTAAAACTTTTTTTGAGTTAAAATAATAAAAAAAATTTCATGTCAATAAATTAAATATGAGCACTTTTTTCACAAAAACTGTAACAGTACTTTCTCAGAAATTACAATCAAAAATGCAATTTCCATTTGGAAAATTAATAAACGCTAAAAAATACACGACCTAAGATTTACCAATCACGAAAATAACAAAAAAAAATTTTATTAAATATTTAACATATTGATACTGCTTTACTGATTGTGACAGCCCTTTGGTAGATTATGTATTTCAGGTGGTTAGCAACAGCGCCAATCTCCTCCTTTCGGCAAAACTGCGAAACGTCTGGTGACATATATAACCTGCCAAACGGCTGTCATAATGAGTAAAATATGTTATGTTAAAATACTTTTTTTTGTTATTTTCGTGATTGGTAAATCTTAGGTCGTGTATTTTTTAGCATTTATTAATTTTCCAAATGGAAATTGCATTTTTGATTGTAATTTCTGAGAAAGTACTGTTACAGTTTTTGTGAAAAAAGTGCTCATATTTAATTTATTGACATGAAATTTTTTTTATTATTTTAACTCAAAAAAAGTTTTAGCTGGTGTATATCTTGCCAATAATCAATTATCCATAAAGGAAAAAGCATTTTACCTTCTTGTTTTCAAGAAAAGGCTGTTGAAAATTTTCCAAAATTTTAGTATCAATGTAGATGGCGCTGCCTCACTTGGACCTGGCCTTATAAAATATCGGCCACTTTAAATATCGATCATTTAGATTTTCAATCAAATAAAATATCGACCAAATAAAATGTTGACCATTTTAAATATCGATCATTTAGAATTTCGTTCAAATAAAATATCGACTTAATGTAATTCGATCAATTAAATTTTCGACCTTTTTAATTTTTGGGAAAAATCATGCGCCTCGAAATAAATTATTCAAAAAAAAAAAACATTTAAACAAATGTCAAACACTGATTTATTGAAGTTACCCGGAATGAGAAAGCGAGTAGTAGCGCAGAGACCCGCCGCTGTTGCGCCGGAAAAGGCTGGTGCAGAATTTGACTCCTCCACTATACAAAGCAAGGTTTTTTTTCGAATTATGCGCAAGCTCTTATCTAATTGATAATTCATATTTTAAAAGAAAATTTGATATAAATTACTGACGATTTAAAATGAATTCGAAAATTGGGTCACTTTATTTCCATAGTGTACATTAAAGTTTTCGTTTAATATAATTTTCGTAAAATCTAATAAAAATGTAAGAATTGAGGCAATTAATACAAAAAACAGCATAAATTGATTTTTTTCGAAAATTATTATTTTTTTTTATTGAAAATTTTACCTCTTGGGTTGGCGCGTATGATTATCCCATAAAAATTATTAGTTAAAATTTTCATTTCAAAGAATTTTATTAGACATAATTATTTTTTAGACAAATTTTTATTTTTCTAATTAAGATTTGTTAGAATTTCTTTTTTAAAGAAAATTTTTAATTAACAGAATTTTTAGACACTGAATTAATTTATTCGGTAGAATTCTTAAAACGTCGAATTTTTATTTGGTCGAATCAACAATCGATAGAAAGATTTTGGCGTAATTTTTAAATTCCACTAATCACGATTTTCTTGATAACTTGTGATTGGTGGAATTCAAAAATTGCGTCGAAATCTTTCTCTCGATTGTTTGTTCGGTCGTTTGCAATTTCGGACAAATTTTCAACAGTATTTACTTGAAAACAAAACAATAAAATGCTTTTTTCTTTTAGGATAATTGATTATTGTCAAGAAATACACCAGCTAAAACTTTTTTTGAGTTAAAATAATGAAAAAAAACATTCAAACAGAAATATGTGTCTAAAAGTTTAATTAATTTTTCAAATTTTAATTAATTTTATTATGTTTTACACTAATGAATTTAAAAATGAATGACAAGACATTTTTAAAATTACAAGTTTTTGAAAATAAAAATTGCAAACAGAAGAATTAATAAAAAATTTTATATTATTTATATTCAGTTTTTATTGATTATTGAAAATTTTTTGAACTTATTCTGTTTCTGCACCAACTGCCTCAATTATTTCTGACATTATTGAAAAATATAATCAGATTTTTAAATTATTAAACGATTAACTGTTAAAGTGAATTGACCGTAGGTAGAAACGGATTTATAAATTGAAATTTTTATATTTAAGAACATTTTATTTTTAAATGTTTCTACAATAGCAAAATGTAAAATAAACTAAATGATTTTTATGATCAATTTGTTTAAGAATATACTTAATTTAATAATATAATTAAAAACTAAAAATTGATAAAAATATTCACTTTTTTCCCTAATAAATACTACAAATTATTATTTTATTAACATTAATTAATTATTATCGCATTTGTATAAAAAAGGATTTAGATGCTGTGAACATGATTTTCAGAGTGTTACTTTTTTAATAAATAAAGCTATTAGGAATGTAATGAGCAAATTACTTTTCTTATTATTATTATTATAGCTGTAGCGATAAAATTTGTCAAGCTCTACACTAAATGAATTATGGAGAAACTTTTTTTAAATCTGACTTTTCAATTACATTAATAATCTAATTTTATTTTTCCGCTTTAACAAATCATAATTAGAGGAATTAGTAATTTTTTTTAAATTTGTTAAAATGTTATTGCAATATTAATGATAGCAAAAAAAAAATTAACGACTAGACAGTTTAACATTTACTCCCATATTAAATAATTATTTAGAATACATAAAATTTTTCAAAGTCTACAATTATGAGAATTTTCAAATATAATTATGTCTACGTATTAATTTAAAATAGTTTGAAAAAAAAAATCATGAAATTATCATTAGAGTAGGTATAATTTTGTTTTTAATTTTTTTTTCAAATTTTTTTGTATTCTAGATAATTTTTTTTTTTTTGCTGCTTGGTTAATATACGTTTGAAAGAAAGTAAATTAGTTTTCAGTTTTTATAGAAAAAATGCAATTTAATACTGCATTTCATAGCAACTGGCATAATTATACCTGGAACCAATAAATATGGCCCTTTAAGATCTTTAGCATCTTTAGTTGCATTCGAAGCAGGGCAACTGTTGCTGCGTGATACGCTTGGTGAATAAACATCACCTGGGTCATGACGATCCTGTAAATCTTGTGTAAATATACCACAAGAGCAGTTAAAATCTGAAATTTTTTTTATTTATTTCTTTATAGATTGAATATGGATACATTGTTTTAATGACGCCGTCATTTTTTTTTTCTTTTTGACGGTCTTTAAATAAAAATTTTTAGGAAAAATAAAGGAAAAAACTCATAATAATTAAAAACATATAAAAACTAATGAATTCAAAAAATAATAAATTAAAACGAAAAAAAAATAATATGCTGCATCTTCAAATTAAAAAAAAAAAAATCCATTACCAATGTTCCTGTTGTATACAAAAGAAATATTTTTGATGTTGAAATATTTCTTATCTTTTATTATATTGAGAGTAAAATCGATCTAGACAAAACAAAAAAAAACAAAAAAAACTTACTTTTTGACGATGAATGATTCCGCATTTCTGCTAATGATTTAATAATAGGAAGCCTTGACATGTTGGTCTTTCTTTCGTGTTGATGCCGATGTCGAACTAAAAGAGCTTCCCTGACCTAAAACATAAAAAGAACAAAATCATCACATATATAGGTCGTGCAGAAAAATTTATTTAAAACACATCTGCTACGAACAAAAAAAATTTTAAACTGATAAAATTATATGAAAACATACAACTTAAAAGTATATAAAAATTGTAAAATTGCTTTTCAAAATTTTTTTTTCTCTCTAAAAATCACTGTAATTTAACACAGTTGAGAAATTTTCTTTTATAAAGTAAACATTGATATCTGAAAATAATTCAATCTCAATGTTGTTTAAATATAATATATAAGTTATATTTATAGTATATATAAGTTACCTTATCTCGAACTTCAAACGGCAATGCTCCTTTATTGATCATGTTATCCAATACGAGATCTGTAATTTGCTCCAAATTACTTGCTTCCATGTCCAACATGACAGTTCCATTTAATAAAAGACTTCTCAACTCAAAAAGTGAATGCAAAGAAAGTGTTGCAACGTGAGGTTTAGACCATCTATTTCCACCTTCTTCAACATCTTCTTCAAATTTGATCCATCTGAAGCAAAATTATAAGGAATAAAATTTTTAATAAAAATTCAAATTATTATTTAAAAAAAAAAACTTATAAAATGATTATTTTTCATCAAAATTGAAATTCTTTTCAAAGATCTCACAAGAGATTTATAATTTAATTTGGCTAAACTTTTTTCATCTCTTAGTTCTCTACGAAAAAGTGTTCCAGGTTTTTTTATTCAAAATTTTTTAAATTATTTACGAGATAAATGAATTTTTCAAAATTTTCAGAATTTGAATGATTAATTTTTTTTTATTCTGCTCACACTGAAAAAAAATTTATTTGATTCAAATACTATTATTAAATAAATATATTTATTTGTATCAAATAATTATTATTTGAATCCATTAAATGGTATTTGTTTCAAATACAGAAATTATTGGTTCAAATATAATTTATTTAATTCAGTTAGTGCATGACTTATTTAAAAATGTATCAAATTTCAGTTTTTTTTTGAAATTGTGTGTTTTTACATTAACTTTTCAAAAATTCAATGTAAAAAAAATTTTATAAAAATAATTTACCATATTTCTTGCAATTTAAAGGTTAAAAATTTATTTTTAAAACTGTGTATATATTTGTCTAATACGAGTTACACTCGGTTACCTAGGGTTCCGTTCACGATTATTGTCAATGTAAAATAAAACAGTAAATTAAACAGTAGAAATAAATAACTTCTTTTTAGATATTTAAAACAATATTTTGTAATAAAATTCGTACTTAAGGGTATGTGGGCAAAGGACGTTTACTTGCGGTTTGAAACTTTCTCTAAAATAAAAAATGATTTCGGGTTAAAATTTTGGAGAAATGATTTTGTTTGTTACAAGGAATCTCGCTGTTCTACTCATTTACCATAACTTAACGTAAAAATAATAAAAATAAAGCAATAAATAGTAAAATAATGTATAATGTCATAGTTCATTCAGCGACCACTTGCTCAAATTGGCGCTGTTTATTAGAGCACTGACACACTCAAGCAACGTCTGTGTATGCGCCGCCATGTTTCTTTTCATTTTCGTTTAAAAATCACAATTTTTAAACTTCATTTTTTAATAATTTAACGCAAAATTATGTATTTTTCGAAGAACAGCGAGATTCCTTGAACCCAAATCTATCATCCCTCAAAATTTTAGACAAAAATCTTTTCTCATTTTAGAGTGAAATTTATGCTACCAAAACATATTTTCCCATACTTGTTCACGTGGGAGGTTCCCACATACCCTTAAAGAAGTTGCAAAAAAAATTTCGTTCATTCTTAGCTCCAAAACTGTAAAAGTTAAGACGGGGGGAACACGCTTTTTTTTCAGAAATTTCGAGTTTTTGGAATATAGCTATATTAAATTCAATTCCAATCGGGTTCGCTATAATTTTCCTTTAATCTACTCGCAAAAATACGTATGTATACTAAGTTTGAGCTCAATCGGTTAAAATGGCTAGACTTAAGAGGGGCGGGGGGACAGGATTTTGTGGACGGACATGAGTGAAACCTTAAGGGTTCCGTTTCGGTTCACTGCGTGAACGGAACCCTAAGAACCATTTAATTTTTTTTATAATTTTCATCATAAAAATCTTTGTCGGTATTTTTACTTCGATTTTCGTAATTAGCACATAAAACTATAAACAAATACATAGCATCAAAATAAAGCAAGAAAATAATTCAAAAATTCGAAAATAGTGAAAAAATTGAAAAAATTATAATTATTATTATTATTATTATTATTATTATTATAAGCGGACGTGACTTAAAATTTTGGTATGTAATAGGAAATAGTTTTTTTTTTAATTTTAAAAAAAAGTCTAAGGATACAAACAGTCATAAAAATAAAATTGTAATGTTTAAATTGCAAAAACAAAAATAGTAAATTATTTTTCTAAAATTTTTTTTATATCGAATTTTCGATAAGTTTATGTAAAAACACACAATTTCAAAAAAAAAAAAAACTTGGAAAATAGATGCATTTTTAAATTAGTCGTAAGCAAAATAAAAAATCATTAAAATTCTGAAATTTTTAAGAATTCATACATATCTCGTAAACTTAATAAAAAAATTTGAAAAAAATCATGGAACATTTTTGTGTATATTTATCTTTAAAAAAAAGTTATATTTTATTATTACAATGTGATTAAATTAATTAAAAGAAATATTTATGTACTATTAAATTAATTTTAAAATAAACAAATCATATAAAAATATTGATTTTTAAAACTGATTTTTTTTTAAATAAAAATTATAAAAAAAAAATTTTTTCCTAAGAAAGGCTTTTTTCAAAAAAAACTAGTACCTCTAAAATAATTTAAAATATTTTTTTTAAATGAAAAATAAAAAAAAACGTTTTTAAAGAAAAATATTTAAATAAAGAAAAAATTGTCAAATATCAACTGTTTTTTTTTCTTCTGAGAACAAGATTTAAAAAAGAAAAAGAATGTTAGAAAAGTAGATCAAAAATACCTAGCAGTTTCTTTCCATTCCATTTCATCACCATCCTTGATGAGCTCTTCCATTTCAGAAAATAAGGGATGAGATTCATGAGCATCATCACCAACTTCTTCGCCAAGAATAAATTGTACTCTTTGAGCCGGTGGTGTAACTAAAAATGAAAAAAAAAAATTGACAATAAAATAAAAAAAATAATGACTAATGTATAATATATATACAAAAATATGTAATATTTACTAGGTCTTTCATTGTCAACGTCTTCTTTATTGGTTCCATTTGTCGGTCGGGAATGATGGTGTTTATGATGCCGACGATGTCTTCTTTCTCCAGGCAAATGTACACCCACATAAACTGTATGTGCCCGATGTCCTGAGAAACAAATTTGAAACGAAAAATATTATTTTAAAACATTTTCCTTTAAATTTTAATTAACAAGAATTATAATAAAAAACACAATAAACTTTTATACTAATTCATTGGCATAAACAAATAAATCAATTTTTTTAATTAATAACTCTATCAATTTTTTTATGGATATTTTTTTAAAAAGGTTGATTTAAATTCGCAGTGAATTAAAAAAAAAAAATATTGAACTTACAAATTAATTTTATTCAATGTACACGTTAAATAATAATAATAATAATATTTTTCTTATTTCTTGTAAACTATTAATGAATGTACATAATTTAAAATGAGATGAAATAAAATGTAAACGCAAAGTTCGTCACGAAGGAAAGTAAGTCAACGTTTTAAGTGGATTGCAGTTGCACTTGGACTTCAATGGCGATGTTCAAGGGCCACATCTATGATCTAGTCAGCTAACCTAGTATAATCAATGTTAAGTTTCTTTATCGAAAATTAGACGATAAATCCGAGGGAATAACGATTTTTGAAGCACTTTTATTCTTTATGCAAACTGAAGCCATTTCTTGGCTGACCTATAAGTCAAATTTATTGTATACTTATGATCATCGTAGGTTTAAATAAAAACAAAAAAAAACATATTTATTGAACATCAGCTAAATTTTTTTAACATCATTTTGCTAAAAAAAAATTTTATACCGAAAACTTATTTTTTGCATTTTAATAATTTTGAAAAGATATTACCAAATACGATTATGTGGTTTTGGATATTTAGTTTTATTATTCCCAATATTATATTTTACTTAATAATATGTGACGCGCTCTGAAGAAATGGACCTTAGAAGCAAAAAATTATAGGTTATGTTTTAAAACTTTGAAGTGAAAATCAATTTTCAATACAAATTATTGATATTCAAAATATTCAATAAAAACTGATTTTTATTTTATATATAAATAAAAAGAAACTTTTAATCATTGTAAAATTAGGGGTCATTCAAGTATTACGTAAGCATCTAAGGGGGAGGGGGGGGGTACCTCAGTTGCTTACGCAGCATACAAAATTCTTATTTTTTCCATTACGATTTGCTTATTTGGGGGAGGGGGGTCCAAAACTCTTGAAAATGTGCTTACGTAATACTTCAATGGCCCCTTATCGTAAACATAACCTATTATTCGTTTGCTTCTAAGGTCCCTTTCTTCAGAGCGCATCACATATATTTTATATAATTATATAAATAATTACATTTATATAATTAATTAATAATTTTTTGATTGAATTTTATTAATTTTTAAAAGATAAGATCAAATAATGTTATGTGATTTTAAACATTTTTTTTTCACGCACCTATTTTCAAACAAATTGAGCTGCCGGATCAAAGAATGGCACATAACTATAATGTAATTCAAATGGGTTATGTGCTCTTCTTTGATCCGGCAGCTCAATTATATGTTGTTCCTTTCGAAACGAAATATTTTACAACGAAATTTGTATATTTATTCTTTTAACAAAACATTAAACATTAAAGTAATTATAAAAAGATTTCATAAAGGATATTATTTTGTATGTTTAAAAAATCTGAAAATTTTAAAATAAATAAAAAAAAATTAAATGGTTTAAAAAGAAATGATTTTTTTAAATTGTATTTATTTTTGAGTTGTTTGTTTGCCATATTACACACTATTTATAAGGATTTTATTTTTTATTAACAAATAAAAGTTTTTCTACGCAGTAAAAATAAAATTTTATATAAATGAATTTTGAAATTATAAACTTAGTCAAAGTATGCCGTCCTAATATTAAAAATACAATGTAAAATTTATTCACCTTTTCCTGGAAAGAAACAATCTTCTCCATGAATAAATCCTATTGTACTTTGTTCACAAAAAATATTTAATCCGGAAAGTCCATGTCAATCACAAACACTACTTTATAGGTTCGAAATTCAAAGTTTCACGCTCAAGTTCTATTTCATTCCACAGTTCAGAAATTGCATTTCTAAAAATCTAAATTCAGTTTTATGCGCGCGTTGATATTGTTTACCTTAATTTGTCAAATTGATCAATTATTTCTTTTTTTGAAATGATTTTCGCGATTATTTGTGATTGCCATGGACTTTCCGGGCTAGATTTTTTTTGTGAATTAAATGTCAACAAATTTTTCCATGAAGAACTTCGTTCTTTTTCAGAGGAAGGTGAATAAATTTTACAATGTATTTTTAAGATTAGGGAGGCTTATCGTGATCCTTAAAATGAAATTTATGAAATATTTTATATTAATAATTCCCAACCAAAAATTTCAGTATTATACCAGAGTTGACTACTGGCGCAGTACTGATTCAGTATTGGTTGCCGAGGCTGGGCAGTCTGTACTGAACCAGTACTGGTATTTTCATTTTATCAATACTTGTGCAGTACCACCCACCTAATACTAGCAAACCACAACTGAGCCGATATTGAGCCAGTACTGGCTCAAATAGATTTTCTTTTTGATTAATACTAGTTTACAAAAAGTTCTAGAGTGAACCCGATGAATCATTTTGTTTAAATATTTTGTTCATCAAAATTTTTTCAACTTGATTTTATTTTTCAAAATTAAAATGTACTTTATTTTGCTTTTCTGTGGGTAAAATTATTTAAACAAAAAGTTTCCTGAAACCAAGTCTAAAACAATTTGCAAGATTTTCTTTTTGTTTTCAGATATGCAATAAACCAAAAAAAATTTTAAACGTTCAAACTAAAAATAAATAAATTTGTTTATAAAAAATTAATATTTTTTAAAATAAAATTTATAATATAAATTTAATTTAAAAAATTAAATACAATCGCAAGTAAAATTGCACAAATGTTATATTATCAATAATATAAAATATATAATTAACCTTTCTTAATAGAAATTATAAAAAATAGTTAAACCTACAAACTTATATATTTCAATGGTCAATAAAAATATTGTAATTTGTTTCTGAATGTTATTCTTCAGTTTTTTTCCAAAAGTGAATTATAAAGAAAAATTTAATGTTAATTTAAAAATAATTTAGATAATTTTTTTAATAATTACCTAATTTCAGGAATTTAGTATTCATTATTTATTAAATCATTATATTTGTGATGAGTTAATTTGTAAACTAATTTTGTTTTATGTAAATTGAATTGAATTCAATGTTAATTTATTTATATTTGATATAATAATTAATAAATTAAAGTGAATAATAAAATAATTAAATAGTTATTTGCATAATTATATACATTATAATTATTTTATAAACATTTTTATTTTTACTGAACTGTTTTTATATATTATAAAAACTTGGGTTTTATAATAAACATATTTTTATATTTATTTTTTGATTTTTTAAAATAATAATTTGCAATATATATATTATGAGAAGGAATGAAAATTCTTGGTGTTTTAGATTTTATATAACAAAATATTAATTAGTTAGTTGACTAATTTAATTAATATTTAATTTGTGTTGGGTTACTAAAAATTTTAGACACTTTTTCCTAAGTATACCAAAAAAGTATTACCTGGAGTGAAACTTATCTCTGTCACGGTTAAAGCTTTCTTTTCGTATACAATAAATTACAAAACTGCCAGTACTCGGCCAGTACTGAACCAGTAGTGGTTACCAATACTGAACCAGTAGTGGTTACCAATACTGGTGCCAACTCTGGTAGCCAATACTGGTAAAATGTTATCATCCCAAAGTTACGCCAACTCTGGTGCTAATACTGTGTGCCAGTACTGCGCCAGTACTGCGCCATTAGTAAATTTTTGATTGGGAAGACTCCCTTTTTTTTGAAAGAAGATTTTTTGTACAAAGAAGATAACGCAAGTTTTATGAAAAAAGACATATCATCAAAAATAGAAATAGTAGAGGAAATTATTTTTGCGCTGGTCTCACTATGAAATACCGCTACTACTGCAAATACTATATAGACAACTTATGATTCTAACCATGCTCAAAAAAATCAAAGTTGTTCGATTTTTATAAAACTTGGGAAAATTTTAGACGAATACAAATAAATGAAATATCCAAAAGCAAGTTTTGAAATATTAAACAATTTTTCAATTTACAGGGCTTTCAAAAATTTTTCTGAAATTTTTCACTTTATGTAGAAAATCAAAAAAAAAATTTTACATTAACATATTGTTAAAAATTAAAAATTATTATTGTAAACATTTTTATAAAAAATTAAAATTTTTTATACACACGTTTATTTACGTTCAGAACATAATTTCTTTTATAATTTTTAGAATGTTTCTATTATGTACAAAAAACAAAATTTATTTTGAGATATTAATTTTTCCAGCCAGTGTATTACATATTTGAATATTAACTCAACAGCTATTCAATAAATTATAAAACAATTCATAGTGTTTTATATACTATTGAATAATTGGTTTGAAAATTACGTAACTATAATTTTAATTTTTTTTTTTCATTTACTAAATATATATATATATATATATATATATGTCGCGTTGTAAGTATCTTACATTATTTTTTGTATTATCTCTGTTATCAGCTCTATAAAGAAAGATAAGAAAACAACTAAAGGAGAAATTATAGAAAAGGATAAATTACTCAATTACTTGAAAAATTTATCTCTTTTTAAGTTTCAATATAACGAAACTCATCAGTAAAAAATGAAAAATAATTAAAAAACTGATTAATCTTACCTTCATAATCTTTCTCTGTATATTTCTCAGTGTATGAATGTTGAATGACTCGAGCACCAGGATCTTTAGGTGCCTCATCATCACCTGAAGCGCCAACTCGGTCGCTCGTTCCACCGATTCCAGGCTGCATCCAGGGTCTAAAATATACAAAATTAATTTTAATTAAACCACTTTTATTTCAATAAATATTAATTAACATTTGTTAACTATTTTAAAGAGGGACGCATGATTGTGTTCTAAAAAACATTAGTTCGAATTTTCATTTTATGGAATTTCATTTGTCATATCACAGAAAAAACGCTGGGTAAATTTTGTTGCGGGTAATTTTCATCAATGCTAATTCACATAGACGGTGGCGCCCTCAACTAGGATAAAATTTGTTGCAGGTAATTTTTATACCGATTTTGGGGTAAAAATTCTACTTTTTTTTCGTGTGTAATTTTTTTTGAGCCGAATTTTTATTTGTTCGAATTAGTATTTTGCAGAATTTTCAACAAACCGATTTTCTAATATATATATATATTACAGAATTTTTATATAAACGAAAATTCACTTCACAGAATTTTTATTTACTCGAATTTTCATTTGACATAATAGGCATTTTAAAGAATTTTTATTGGGTGGAATTTTCTTTCAGATGAATTTTCATTTGTTGGAATTATTATTTGACATAATTTCCACATAACCGATTTTCCATATTAGAAAATTTTTACTAAACCGAAAAATCATTTAACAGAATGTCTAATTGATAGAATTTTCATTTGTCCGAAATTGCAAATGGCCAAACAAACAAAGATTTCGGCGCGATTTTTAAAATCAACCAATCACAATTTTATGGATAATTTTTGATTGGTTGATTTTAAAAATCGCGCCGAAATCTTTCAGTCGATTGTTTGTTCGGCCATTTGCAATTTCGGAAAAATGAAAATTCTATCAATTAGAAATTCTGTTAAATGATTTTTCGTTTAAGTAAAAATTCTGTAGTATGAAAAATCGGTTATATGGAAATTATATCAAATAATAATTCGAACAAATGAAAATTCATCTGAAAGAATAAAATGAAAATTCTCTGCAATGAAATTCTACCCAATAAAAATTCTTTAAAATGCCTATTATGTTAAATGAAAATTCGAGCAAATAAAAATTCTGATCTAAATAATTATTATTATTATTAGTTAGTAAATGGTGTTCTTTTTCAGTTTCTAAAACTTATTATTTAATTTTACAAATGTATCTAATTTATGTAGAATAGAAATGTAACAGTTGTAAATAAAAAATAGTTTTCGAAAATATTATGTGTGTTGTTTTCAATGATGTTAGAAAAAAACTGTGCCTTTAAAGGCATCTTATTTTCCTTATATATGAAAAGAAAATATATTCAATATATTCAAGGTGTAAATACAACCTTTTTACACGTAAACGCTAATAATGTTGGACTATGTTAATATTAATTTATTTCAAAAAATTTTACAGGAAATGGTTAAAAAATGATATGTTAATTATATATTGTTCATTTCAAACTAAATGAAATAGTTTAGTTATAATTTAATACAAAATTTAAATTATCAGTTCATTTTTCATATCAGGCGAGACTGAGGACAGATGATGAAAATTCAATCACTTTACCAGTGACTATATAGAGGGGTCACTCCAGTAAATGTTCTAAAATTAATTTTTCAGAATTTTATTATTTAGAATTTATTTTTAGCCGAATTTTTATTTTACAGAACTTTTGTTTGTCTAAATAAATTTTTGGGGTGGCTAAATAAAAATATTTCTCGAAAATTTAACATTTAACCCTCTACCTGTCCAGGTTGACCGTTATCGACAAAAATCGACAATTCGGTCGTCTGATGAGGAATATGGGAAATACATTCTATAGCGAAGAACAATGTAGCTGAAGTATGAGACGTCTCAATTCGTCTCACAAAACGCTCGCAGCGCCACGCAAGCTGTTTTGCATAGGCGTCGCAAGTGGTGAATAGCCCAAATGATAGTAGATATATAATTCAATAAAATACATTAACAATAAAGTTATATATACATTTTAACATAAAAAACATACCAACTCATATATAAATAAAAAGTAGTATATAATTAAAACTTTAATTTTTTTAATTAGTAAAGGTGTTATGTTTCAGATTATAATGAATATATACATTAAAATTTCCAGTAAATTTAACCTTAATATAAATAATCTGTTAGTTTCAATTATTAGATTTTAGGAAGTTAATATTAAAAATTAACATTAAAGACAAAAAAAGTTGTAGGAAATAAAGTAAAACTGATAATAGATAGAGACCTAGAAATAATTTTTCATTAAACAATCAAATATTACTACAACAATTAATAACAAATAAAATACACTAATAAAAATTATTATTTTTTCTATTTGTTTTTAAACTAATTATATACAAATTTAAAAAATAAAAGTTGAAACAAATTTCTAGGAAATTAAATTGTTATTGAAGAAACCATTTTGGCGAAACCTTTTTTGAATAAAAATTTATATTTTATGCATTATCAATAACAATTAGGTTGCTTTGATCAAACATTTTATTTTTCCTACTTATTTCTATATTTATCATGAACAAATTTCATCAAAGAAAGTTGAAAAAAAGTTCTAGGTTAATATTTAATTTTTCAAAAAATTATAGCGGCGCAACTATTATTGAGTAAAAATTCAACTTTTAGGCATTGTTAATAACAATTAAGTTGCTTTGATCAAAAATTTTATTTTTCCAACTTATTTCTATATTTAATATGAACAAATTTCATCAACGAAATTATGATTGGCTAATTTTAAAATTTGCGTCCAAATTTGTCTGCTAAATATTTATTCGGAAAAAAGAAAGTTCTGTAAAAATAAAAATTTAACGTTTTCAAATTTTTTTCAAATGTCAATTCGAACAAATGAAAATTCGATTAAGTAAAAATTCTGTAATATAGTAATTGCATTAAATGGAATTTATGTTAAATATTATAATTCGAGGAAATAAAAATTTGGCTAAAAGTAAATTCTAGATAATAAAATTTTGTCAAATGAAAATTTGAATAAATTAATTTTAAGACTGATTCATGCGTTTTATTTTTTAAGTTTAGTTGAAAAATAAATTTTTGCCATAGATTCTTTATGGTAAGTCCAAACTTGAGAATGAGATGTCCAACTTTTTGAAGCAATTGGAGCCAAATTGGTGTCCAATCTCAGTTTTATCAACTTTGGGAAAATTTCCTATTGGAAGCTATTAAACATTAAAAATTATTGGTTATTTTACTCAAACTCTTGAATAATAATAATAAAGGTACATAAAGAAATATTATACATAGATTAGAGATTTTTAAAAATAATAAAGCAACCCGGTCTAGGTGATTTTCGCTAGACTGACTCTAGAGTTAAACTGTTATTTGTTTAGTAATGTAGGTAATTTAATTACAGATAGATATCTAGTTTTAAAATGGCATAAATGTTTTAGCTTTACTCATGTAGAAATTTCCCCATTTTGACCTAGTTTAGTTTTATTTCCGTCAATGTTCCTGTGACAGAACAGTCTATTTAATGTAAGTGAAATTCATACAGAATATTGTGTTGTATTAAAATAAGATTAAAATAAAAATAAAATAATATGTCTCCAGTAGACTGTTATTAAAATTAATATTGATTAAAGAAATAAGTCATCGGACAATTTCATTTCATAGTTACAATAATATATTTTAAATACAAATTTAATATTTTTAGAAGGAAATAAAGATATTGTTAAAAAATTAATCAGTCTTTTCTCTTGTTTTTAGTTATTGTTTTCTTTTGCAAATTATTTGTTGAAATTAAATTCTTTTTTTTTTTTTATTTAACAAAATATTTTTTTAAAAATAATAATTTTAATTTCTCAGTAAAATTTAAGTTTCTTTTTAAAAAATAGTTTCTTATTCTGTTATAGGTTACAAAAACGTGCATTTAGTTTCTGAAAATAACTTGTTGAAGAAGACAACACGGAGAATAAACTGATATTATTATTATGTACTCACTCTAAATTTGAATTTGTCAAAAATAACTAACTTGATAGCAAAAAAAAAATATTAGACTCTGATTTAAATAGGTATGTAGTAGTAATATTTCTACTATTTAGTTTAAAATATCTAATAATGAAATTAAATTAATTTTTAGGTTATGTCAAAATAACTGAAATTTCATTAAATTTCTATTAACTAATAATTATAGTCTTTGACAATTCTTACAGTTATTTTTTTATTAATAATAAATCTCTTTTTTTTAATTTTTTTAATTAATAAATCAAAAAATCGGAAAAAATTTTAATAACAATTAGTTATTTTTAATTATGAAAATTCAGATTTATAGAAGCAAGCGTGTTATTTTTTTTTTTTTTTATTTAAAAGTTTAAAACATTTTTAAATAAAAATTTCAATTTAAAAAATTTTAGTTTCTTTTTTTAATAATTAGAATTGTTGTAATATACCTCGATAATCTCTTAATTTGACTTTAAATAATAAATATATTTAAAATAACTTACAAATAATTTTTATATGTATCTGTTAATGGTACATTGTGCTACGAGTGAGGGACGTAGGCGATTTCCGATGAGTGTGAAGTTTGCTGCGCGAGCGCAGAAATCACGCGAGTCGGATCCGCCGACATTAGATGACATAAAAGATGCACACGATACTTTTTCCAAAAATTGCGCAGAAAGTGTGACTCGGTGATTGTTGAGGGGGGACGAATAAATCGATTGCGATATCCATTCCATATGTGAAAAAAATGTTCTAAGATTTAAATGCCAATGGAGTAGAAACAAATTTTTTCTATGAGGGAGGGGGGGGGTAAACTATATATATACTTTATTCCTTAAAAACTTGTGGGCAACTGAACCCTTGTCTCATCGATAGCGAGAGGAGGGGGGTTTAAAAAATATTAATTATTATTTATTTAAATAATTAATTTCATAAGTTTTGAAATTTAGCGCTATTTAAGTTGGCAGTACCGTTCTTGATGTCAAAACACATGTTTTCATTTTTCTAACCTAAAAACATATTTCACTTTATTACAAGCAGTTTTTAATGAAGATGAAGACATTATTAAGTCTAGTATTTTATTCACGTCTGTTATTTATTATTTTATAATTTA